AACACGTCCTCACGCAGTGACACCTGCGGTGCAACCATAGAGTAAATTTGTATATAGGGTGCGACTGAAGCGTTTAAACGCTATTCCATCTTCCTAAATCCCGTTCTTATTAGGATACTAAATGATTTAGACATTCAGAAGCCACACTTCTTCCGATTTAGCTTGCTAATTAGGATCCTAACTTCCTAAATGCTTTTTCACTTGAGTGAATTAGTTCCTGAATGATTTAGAACGTGTGAATTTAGTCAAGTGGAATAAGCGCTTTACACCACGTAATTAATCATATCAATCAAATACGTATTCTTATATCAAATCGCATGCGAATACTGCGGTGAAAGGCTAGTCTGTTCTTACATATTAGCGCAAATAGTACTACGATTCTGTAAATTAAAATCTCAGTTCCGAGTTCGATAGATCCAATAGGGATGATGACGGAGAACTTGCACCTGAATATTTAACAACATCTTTACATCTTTAGGATTAGAAAAATATAGCAATCTATATATATATAAAACTCAAAGATGACTGACTGACTTACATAGTGATCTATCAACGCACAGCCCAAACCACTGAACGGATCGGGCTGAAATTTGGCATGCAGGTAGATGTTATGACGTAGGCATCCGCTATGAAATTTAAAAAGTATTTCTTAAGGATATGACTGCTCGCCTGTGCGAGGCTACGGGGGACCCAGGATCTGGTAGCTTTTTTGCTCAACGAATTAGTTTGGCGATACAGCGAGGCAACGCTGCCAGTCTTCTGGAGACCGTGCCCCGCACAGGCGAATTCAATGAAAAATTTAATTTGTAATTATTGTTCTACCTATTAATGGACTGGAATTTTGTAAATCAACCAAAAAATTACAATGATAAAGCGCGTCAAAGTTTGGTAGTGGGGGGGGGGGGGCTCGTGACGTCACTGCTTAGCAATAATTGTAACAAGACGTGACGTCATGCGAAATTTCAAATCAATATATCTATGTAATGATTTGATTATGAGAAGGAAGAAAAAATACATGCCCAATACTTTTTGATAATTTACCTGATAGACGAACAAAAAAATTTAGGCATCATCCCTATTTTAGACATTACATAAATTATAAATAAACTAATAATAATAAATAAATATTTCCAACACCCACACCAATTAGCCTAGCCCCAAAGTAAGCATTGTAGGCTTGTGTTATGAGATACTGGGGTTAACGGATAGAATACATATACAGTACATAAGTATATTTAAATAGAAATACATATTAAATATCCCCATGACTAGAGTACAAATGCTCGTATTCATCACAAAATCATCTGCACCCACCGGGATTCGAACCTGCGACCTCTCGAGAAGGCGACACCATGAAACCCGGCGTACCAAGCACTCTGCCACGGAGTTCGTCACATACATATGCATTACGCCATTATGGGCTCATTCTCACAATTAAAGCAGCCACTACTTAATAGTTATTTATTATACAAGAGTGGAAAGTTCCTTTTTAACCGCGTGCTCGATTTGGATGACCGAGCAAGCGAAGGATTCTAAAGTTGAATCACGAGCGCAGCGAGTGATTCTAAATTAGAATCCTGAGCGTCAGCGAGGGAAACAAACGAGCACAAGGTGAAAAATCTTTCCACTCGAGTGCAATACGTAACTTTTCATCCCACCTCAGCGAGGAAATGACAAAATGAAAAAGAAAACAATTTATAATGACAAAATATTTAAGCAATAAAACGTGAAAAACTAGAATGGCGCGAAGCACGCAAATAAAACAAAGAAACCAAGAAGGTTCCAAATTTAAATTTTTTCACAATTTAAAAAGTTCTAATCATAAATTTGGCACCATAGAGGTTACATTAAATAGGTTTAATGACGTTTTGAATTTACAATTATATTGAGTACTCATTATATGTGATGTTCTAAATTCAAATCTACTTTGCCGCTCAAGCGAATAAAATAGAATTTTCCAGCCAGATTTCGAAGCGCAAAATTACACTTTCCGAGGTGGTGGGATGAAAAAGATATTGGACAATTGCCAAGAATTCGAATGATTATGTAAGTGTCGTCGCAGGCGGGCCACCCGCCATAGCCACAAACGCCGCCACGAGAAGCTAGAAGCCACTACTAAAGCGGCTGAAGCGCGCTACAGCGGCCGACTAAGGTAAGGGAGAGAGGGGTGGGGAATCGCGCGAGTGACGTGTGACGGCGTTTTGTATTGGCGCATTAAGTGGCCGGTGCGGGACACATAAAGCGAGCAACGACGATATTTGTAGCGTGTGGCGGCCACCGCATATAAAATGTATGAAAACTGCAAGAAATATGCCGGTGGCGGCGTTTTGTGGTTGTGGAAGGTGGCCCGTGTGCGGCGACACTAAGTCATTAATGAGCTTGTAAGTGCAATTGTATTTTACAGAATCGACATGCAGTTGGAAACATCCAGTTAAAAAACTTTTGAGACTTGATCTCACTAGTGCTTACCTAGGCCACTGTACCATCCTTCCTGTATTTGAATGATGTGCAAAAGCTACAGCAATGCTACTTTTATCATCATCATCATCAGCCTATTAATGTCCCTACTGCTGGCGTACAGGCCTTCCCTATTTATGGAATAGGGAGACTGAGCCATGATCCACCACGGCGGCCCAGTGCGGATTGGCGGGTGCTAACGACTGCAGATGCAGCCGGGACCAACGGCTTAACGTGCCTTTCGAAGCACGGAGGAACTCGAGATAGAAGATTGATCGCTCTTCCAATGACCGACCACTGCGAAAATTGCTTAACTTCAACGATCGCAGCCGAACGCGCTAACGACCTGCGCCATCGATCTCCTCGTTACTTTTATATATTCTATGATATTAGGCACTTCTTAAATCATAAACTAGGCCGTATATAGACTTAGGCCCGTATTACAGAATGACAACTAAGTGTTGATCTTTACTTGAATACAGGTACAACTATGCTCAAGACTAGATCAATCACTGAGAATCTTTCTATAATACGGGCCTAAGTGTTGATCTTTACTTGAATACAGTTAGAAAGGGATTTCGCTATGTGCTATATATAGCGACATCCCTTTCTAACTATGCTCAAGACTAGATCAATCACTGAGAATCTTTCTATAATACGGGCCTAAGTGTTGATCTTTACTTGAGTACAGTTAGACAGGGATGTCGCTATGTGCTATATATAGCGACATCCCTTTCTAACTATGCTCAAGACTAGATCAATCACTGAGAATCTTTCTATAATATGGGCCTAAGTGTTGATCTTTACTTGAGTACAGTTAGACAGGGATGTCGCTATGTGCTATATATAGCGACATCCCTTTCTAACTATGCTCAGGGCCCAAGGCCCGTTAAAGATTCTCTGTAATACGGGCCTTAGTTCAGTTGTCATTCTGTAATACGGGCCTAAGAGAAGACTTTTTGCTAAAATTTTAGAAGATAGATTTGCCTATATTTTTTTATCAGGCGCCAGATAAACATTTTCAGAAACATCTTTCACTCTGCCGTCAGCAAGACAACCTCCAGTTAAACGATAAAAATACAATGCCACCAAAAGGTAGTGTTATTGCACTGTGGGAATTAAGGTGGAGGTTACTTCCAAAAAGGCGCTTTAATTCGAGCGGGAAATCCGCTAAGCCTGTCTTAATGAAGACTCTCTTTCTTCTTAATAATCTATTTTAATAAGTACTCTCTGGTAAGTAATGCCATAAATTTATTATCCTATCTAATCCTAACCTAATATTAAAAATGCGAAAGTGTGTTTGTTTGTTTGTAACGCTATCACGCCTTTACCACTGAGTCGATTATAATAAAATTGGGTATACAGGTAAATGGTACCATGGACACGGTTATAGTCAGAGAAAAGTACCTAACATGTTCAAATAAAAATATATTAATTCATTAATACTTTTATCGATGAACCAAGGGCTAATGAATAATGTGGGACAAGGGCACAATCCTATCGCATTCTCATAGACAACAAGTGATAAATGACGCTACACTCTTTTGTTTTCATCAGATAAATCACTTTCTATATCAATTCTGAATCTTATGGTAAGGAGAAATTGAGCTTTTATTTGAGTGTCACGACCGCCTTGTTGGTCCGCGTATGCGTGACACTATGCACAAAAGATGCAACCATGGTGGGTGTAACTATGGCGCCTAACTAACTTTTAATCTCTGGTTAACCATAATTGTTATTGGATAAATTGTTTTACAGTCAATCGAGATAGGTATATTGGTAAATATATTTAAAGTAAGTTCATAATATTCTCTGATTAACTTATGATCAACATAATGAAATTGAGATTTAACCATGAACTTTTAAAGGACACAAGAAATGTGAAATGTTTTAATATGTTCTCATTTTTATTAAATAAAATTTCCTTTTTAGGGTTCCGTATTCCTGACAAGGAACCCTTATAGTTTCGTCATATCCGTCTGTCCGTCTCCAGTTTTGCTTGGAGACTATTAGTACCAGAGAGCTGTAATTTTGTGGAGCAATGTAGGTATATCGATCACGCCGACGAAATGTTAAAATAAAATTTTGAAAAATATTTTTTTTACGGTTACTCCCCTACATGTAACCTGGGAATGATTTTGTTTTTCATCATCTACCCCATCGTGTGGGTACCCCATATCATTGAATAGGTCATTAAAAATTACAGCAGGGTTTTTAAGACTATTTTTCGATTTAGGGATCCGTTTGCGATATATTGAACTTTAAGTGCTAATTTTGTTCGTGTAGGGCGTCCCCTCCTCTAAAAGCTAAACTATTGGCTTAAAAAATTCATGATAATAGTGCTTTTCATAAACTTTTCGAATTGTTTTTGAGTCTGAAACGCAGTTTGACTTTGATTTAAGTATTTTATTTGAGATAAATAGGTTGATATTAATTGGTTTTTCTAATTTCCGATATGGAAAATAAAGACTCCTGCTCAGATATACTGTGGTTGCCTGTTGCAACTACGGAATCCTACACTGCGCCTGGTATCTGGCCGGTATTTTTTAAATAAAAAAATGTTTTCGATACTCTGAGTAGAATAGCTAAGTCTAATAGAAATTGCAATTATGTAGTAAGTATGTTTTTTTCTTATCTTTGAAAAATAGGAGAAACAGACTTTCAAAAATAAAAAATATCAGAGCAGATACGCAATATCATAGAGCAGCGTTTCCAAACTTTGAATTATTTAGTTTTCTAGTCTATTACAGCTATATGTATAAAAATAATCTGAAAGAAAGCGGACTATTGTATTTAATTATACGGTATATAAGTCAGTAAATTTAAACGAACCGATGTTATATTCGTGCGTGCGTGGTACAATCGGCCCTCATTAGCCCATAAGGCCGAATACACATGAACAATTGACAAAGTCAGTATCTCAAATGATGCTATTTCGTCTAATAGACCAGCTCAAGATGAGCCTTTGTTGCGTAAGTTTTCAGACATGAGACAGTTCATTTAGTAGATTGATTTATCAGTAACATTTGCCTTGACCTAAGTCTGGTTCGTGATAAACTAGGTAGGTACCTATGTCCGGATTGCTTTAATTTACTGCGCTTCATTATTCTTTATTGAAAAGTGATTAAGTTTTATTCCAAATCTCGTTAATTTCTTAATGTACTTACTTATTTATTATAATTATTTCATAAAGAAGACTAGGCGAAAGTGGTCCAAGTACCAATACCGATACCGTTGTGGTATTAATGTAGTATAGGAGTACCTACTTCAACTACACTTCAATACGAAGGGGCATCAAAATATGACACGGCAGTTTTGAGAAAAATTACATTTACCTACAATACATTTATTTTAACTACATATTTTGTCTTTCTTTTCTTAAAAATGTGTATACTTAATTTATACTTGTTATCTATATATATAAAACTCAAAGGACTGACTGACATAGTGATCTATCAACGCACAGCCCAAACCACTGGACGGATCGGGCTGAAATTTGGCATGCAGGTAGATGTTATGACGTAGGCATCCGCTAAGAAAGGATTTTGATCAATTCTACCCCTAAGGGGATAAAATAGGGAATGAAAATTTGTATGAAACTTTGTCAAAGCCTTTGAACAAAAACTATAGTCTACACTACAGCTCTACACCGAAGCAAAGCGAGGGCGCGCCGCTAGTGTGAACATATAACTAAAATTAATCTAACCAGGATTTTTAAACACATTTTGCTTTTCTTTAGACTATAAAATCGAAAACCGTTTGTAAACAAAATAAACATATAGCTTGACTTTATATTGGCTTTCCCGTCACTTTGTCATACACCTTCAATGTTGCCTCGGAATAGAATCCAACCTTAATAGTCTGAATATACGTCTTTTCGTTGCTCAAATTACCATTTCCCATAACGTCTTGTATCGTGGGTCCCAAGAAGTGATGGCCGTTCACCTTCCGTTTGTAATTGACAGCTACATTGCCTTTCAGTGAAGCTTTGTATATCACTTCTATTTCCATCGCTCCCCTGTTAGCTGATAGAACACTGGTGACTGCTTCTCCAGGCGCTAGCTTGGTTTCCATTGAAGTACTAGAACCAATCGTGACTGCCTCAGATATTTCTTCGCTCTTACCCCAACTTGAAGTGTAAGAAATTCCCATTCGAGCGGTAATTTTCTCAAAAACGACGTTCACATCATATTCGATTTCCTGACTCACAGTGAGTTCATTGAACTTGGACCAGCTGCTTGAAACCGTGTTCTCAACAGTCTGGCTTATAGCAGTGTTCACTTTTATAGTTTTGTTGGAGAAGTTCTCGAAAACATGCGAGGTAACGATTTCAGGCCTCATGGAAGCGGTCTTGACTGTCGCTGATTTTACTGTTAGAACTCTAGTGACTTGTTCCCAATAATTTTTCTTGTACAGATCACCCCACGGTGTGGGACTTTTTACGTAAACGTTTGTGGGTTTCGTGCCGTAACGTTTCTTTAGAGCCTCCTTTAAATTGCGATCGTTGATTCTGAATAGATTAATCTCATGATCCGTGACAACTTTCAAGTCTGCACCTGAATATTTAACAACGACATCTTTGGGATTAGACCCCGCTGTGATGTCAATCTTTATTTTAGCACTAATCACTTTTAAAAGAATAAAAATTATACAACACTGAATGATCTTCATTATCACTTCTCTGAGAATTAGTTTTATTTTAACTATTTATTTAACTGTTTGGGTGACAGCTCTATTCAACTATTTCAATGGTTACTTTCTTAAATGTATACTAAAAATACGGTTTTCTCCGCCTCCGCAAAACTAAAGTACATTAAATTATTTAACTTTAAAAAACAACAAAAGTAAATACTACGAATCTGAGTTAGGTACAATCGCAACTTATCAAACTTAATACGCATCCAAAATATTTATATTGAATATCTGCTTATCTGTTTGAGTGTTGAATTTATAAAAATAATAACACTGAATAATTAACAAAGTTCTATGAAAATTATCAAAACTAAAATACCTAAGTATGCATTTGATATTAAAACACAGGAAAAACTGATACTTAACTTTGAGTTTTAGGTAATAGTGCATGTATTGATTTATTTTTGCTGCGCTACATCTAAAAGGTCCAATAGCAACATATGCATTTTTTTTGTAATATTTGGTAATCGTAGCAATAAATAAATAAATAATAATAAATAAATAATAAATATTTCCAACACTCACACCAATTAGCCTAGCCCCAAAGTAAGCACTGTAAGGCTTGTGTTAAGGGATACTAGGTTAACGGATAGATAGACATACACTGTACATATATAAGTAAGTTTATATAGAAATACATATTAAACATCCATGACTGGAGTACAAATGCTCGTATTCATCACACAAACATCTGCCCCCACCGGGATTCGAACCCAGGACCTCTCGAGTCGGCGACACCATGAAACCCGGCGTACAAACCACTCGGCCACGGAGGTCGTCAATAATCAATAAATAATAATAATAGCAATAATCACCGAATAATTTACACATACAAACTTATGCACTGCCATCAAAACTGAAATTTGTCCACCAAAGCTTAATCCACCAAAATGAAACGATGGCAAAATCGTGAGCAGCCACAAAAAAAATTTAGCCACCAAAACTGAAAAAATAGAAGAGAAATCTCAAAAAATTGGTGAATTGCAGTAATATTTCTATTAATATAAGTAATATAAAAACTTTCTAGTTCTGACAAAAAAAACCAAAGACGGTCAGTGTTTGGTTTGGTTATTATAATTTGAGCCACCAAAACATAGGAATCGTTAAATGAAATGCCACCAAAAAGGTTCATCTCGTTATGGAAGGACAATGATGTGCACGATCTTTCCACTATTTGCAAACGTATGAGCACAAGTAGCGTACGAGAGTGGGTTTTAAAAATACGAGGCGTCTCGCGTCATCCGGCCAAAAGTTACAAACTGTTCATTCTTAACTCTCAACTTGGACATGCAAAAAATGCCCTTGGGATATCCCCCCATTTAAATGATTTTCAGTATAATGATTTTATGATTTAATTTCACAATTTTATCTCAATAATTTTTCACTTGCTGGTTTTTATATCTAAACGTTTTTTAGCAAACGAAGTCGCAAACTGACACTAGTCTATCATAAATATCAACTAAATACTTGACCCCTAGTCACTGATAAACTTGAAATAAATTATCAACATAAATATATATATATATAAGTTCTTCATTTGGCTTTGCGTGGACTTAATATTTTACAAATAATTAAAAGTAGTTAAAAAAATATTTTTTTAGCATGTATTTGCTTGATGTTTAAATCTAAAGAAAATGTTACTAGAAATAAAAACTAAGTTAAACTAACTAATTAATAAAAATAATAAAATGAAATAAAGTTGTAAGTAGTAACGAGGTCATTGATTTAGAATATAGATATCTAGGCTTTGCCCCATTCCAAATTGAATTAAAGCAAAGATGTTGTTGTATTTATATTTAAACCATTGATATTACATTTTATACAACAAACAACAAAACAGTGACAAAGTTGATAGTATATGTATTTAAGACATATTAATAACTAACACAAAGTTTTATCATAAACAAGATCCAGTGGCTAAGATATCACGTTTACGATGATCATAACAAAGAAATCGATATTATACCAATTGATATTCCTGCTAGTTTTTCCAGTTGTGTGTCAATCGAAAATTAAAATCAACATAACAGTAGCTTCGTACATAAAGAACGTGATCACTGAATTCCAAGGAGAAGATAACAAAGTAGTGACGGACCATGAAAAAGAACTGTACAATATTACACTGGAAAATCTAAACCGTGGCATGAGAGTTGAACTTGGCAAAGCACCTGATAATCTTTTCTTGAAGGACCCAACACCATACGGCGATTTATACAAACGATACAAGTGGCCAGAAGTAAAGCGGAACCTGAAAGTAGTTAACGCCGAAATTGTGGACTTGATCAGAAAAGAAGGAGTCTTGAAGACACATGAGCATGTTAACAATTCCACAGAAGCTGTGAAAAAGATAAGGAGTTTATACGATTTCGTTGAGAGCAGTGTGTATTCGTCGTGGTCGAAAACAGGTTTACCAGCTGAAGAAACTTTTTACGACGTTAACGTAAATTTTGGCGATACAAAGTTTGTCTATGAAAACGAGTGGAGAGATCGAACCCTGAAAAGTACCCTAGTGAAAATTGGTGTTACTAAAAAAGGCCGCATCACTGTTAAACCAGGACAAACGGTAGTCACAAAACTAAAAGCTTTCAAAACTATAATAACAATCAAATTGAAGTACAAAGCGCAGCTTATTGGCAATTTGATTGGTGATTATGAAAGATTGTATGGAAAGTATCATTTTTATTCACCGAATATCAATAATATCATGGGAGCCGCAGGACTGACCAATGACATTGAAACTACTGAATCTCTTGAAGTGGTTTGCTACTCAGATCCCTCTCTGCATGTTTACGATAGAGATACAGGATTGACTGTTAGATCAGATACAGTATTATGGTTGTTTAGGAGTAAGAAGCGTAATAAATCACCATAATTGGAAATAATTACAATCTTCTTCTTTATTATCATCGGAATTATGATAAAGCTGTTAATTAATATCAGTGATAGGGCTCAGGCTTTCTTAATAGATTAGGATCGATAGACACAGCAGCGGTCCTGAGCCCACCACTTGAGCCCAGTGAGAATTTGTCAATGCTAACGACTGAAGGAGGCCGATACTGATAATAAGTCACATAAACTAAGTTTAACTGGCCATTGGAGAAATTGGAGAAATTGTAACTAAGACGATCGCAGATCGAAAGCACTGAACTACCCCTCCTGTAGTGTGTGTACTAGACATATGCACACACGCATCTCTCCCAATATATAAAGCATTGTAATATTAATAAATGCTCTCTTTAATCGCAGTCAGTTGCTTTATTTAAACGCCCCGAACCGCCAACACTGCACTCCGGCCGAACTCAGAGACCTACAATTTTATCTTTTAGTGTGGCAATTGTACAGACTTATTAATTGTATGTATACCTTAAAATAAATAAACATTGAAAACAAACGTTCTATCTGATAATTTAATGTTTACCTACACAAAATGCTCTTGAAAATCAAGTCTTAGAATATTGTTACGTGTCAAAAATGTTTTCGAAATTATAATGCCTGTTCACGCTTAACAATTCTTTATACACCACACAGTTCTTTGTTAAATACACAATACTAATCTCACTGTACGTACACTATATAAGTCCCTTAACAATCGCACAAAAACACTTTACTTGCATTATGATCCTCAGTGGCGGCGCTAGGCGTCGGCGCCGACGGCCTCGCGCCTGAGGGGGCCTCGCAAATTTTTTTTAATAAGTTACCTATTTATTTTCATTTCTCCTAGCCTGGCTAAGGTAGCCGACCCCGAACAATTCAGGGAAAAAGCTAAGCAGATGATAATGACTTTTATTATTTTCGAACACGTGCGTGATGGAAGCGAGTAGTACTTTACGGGTATTCAGAATCGTCTGTCTGGCAACACTATTTTTGTAATTATTTTTTGTCATCATTTGTTTATCAACAATAAAACTCGTTTACTCATACATTATTTTATAATTTGGCTCACTTAATTTAACGGGTTTTTACTGCGAAGTAAAATAGGCCTCGCGAACTTGATGTCGCCGACATCCACATGTGGTCTAGCGCCGCCAGTGATGATCCTAATCGTCCCGAAATCGCTGTAAACTGTCCACTTGGCGTTTTTTTTTACTCCCGATGTAATGGGAATACGCGGGAGGCAGGGCATCCCCCGGGGAGCAGGGAGGGAGGTGGAAAATGCTCTATCCATACCCCACAGCTAAAAGCAAGCATCCAAACGCAGAATAAAGCCCCACAGAGGAAGCATGCAAAACCGTGAAGTACAAGCAAGTTTTGCTCAGCCAAATATTTTAGAAGAAGCATCTGGAACTGCAATAACTTAAAAGAATGTTTTGAAAATACCAAAAAATAACCTAAGAGGACTTCGTAATATTACTGAAAACTACCCTAAAAAGTTAAAAGCAATACAAGCTAAACATGTAGCACCCCAGAGTAGCAGGGAGTGCTCCATGAAACGAAACGACGTCTTTTAGAAAGGAATGCGGGATTGACCATTATTATAATGGATCTTAAAAGGAGCCCGAAAATAATAAAATAGTCCCCCCCCCCCTTAATATTTATATAAATGAATACACGTTTGATTTGTTATAATGTTTAATTTTCAAAGATACTTACCTTTTTTCAGTATTACAGAATATTTCAAACATGTAATTAATTACTTAAACATACACACATCAAAAAAAGGTTGCGATCACTTTAAAAATAGATGGTTATTTATGTTACAAAAGACTTTTTTGTAATTGCAATTTCTGATAAGAATTTTAATTTTTATATTAGAATTAGAACATAAAACAATACACTAGACTTTGTATTATTTTTCGATTACCACATTTTAGCGTATAAAATTTTTATATTAATATTTTTTCTGGTAGACACCAAACAATATATATTTCTATTAAAACTAAAGTCTTAAAATACTGTAAAAAAATTGCAAACATTGGAAAGGTTAAAAAACTAGCAGTTAAACAGTAAATAGGATAAAAAATTCACAAGTGGGATCATGATAAGCCGTTGGGGAGTGCGGCTCCATCCTCGCAGAGACCAGAGCGCTGCCATTTGTGGCGGGTGCCGCGGATACACATACTGCTGGCCCTGATGATCACGATCAGGATTCTTGCGCGTAACCATCCCATTATTGAGGCGAGGGGCCGGCTCCAGCGGTCTGCTAGTGCTTCGGCAAGATGTTTGGCGAAGCTTTTCAATTGTGGGGCGAAGACTCCAAGCTGACACTCATTCAGAAATCTGACTTAGTCACTATTATCGATTTCAAATATTTTTTCACGGAAAGTTGTGATTAAAAAAAGCTACGAGGATTATCAGATGTTTTACGAGCCAGAATTGTAACTTTGAGGAAAGAAGGCTATTCTACGAGAGAAATAGCACGCAGAGTTGCAATATCCCAATCCTGTGTAATAACCACGTTGCAGAGGTACCACGGCATAGGTAATGATCGACCCCGCAGCGGTCACCCAACCGTTTTGACAGCTGCTCAGAAGCGCTACATCAGGTTGCTGGTAGCCCGCGACCCAACAATAAACGCCACTAAATTAAAAGCAGAAATACGGGCCGCCTGCGCCTTTGGACTTGAAGTTAGCACTCAGACCATTCGGAATTTCTTACAGAAGGCTGGATTACGAGCACGGAGGACTTGGCGAGCACCTTTGATTTCACGGGAACGTCAGCGACGGAGATTACAGTGGGCTAGACTCCGGCAAAAGGAAGAAGACGAAGAGGAAAACATTTGACAAAACTGCCTCTTCGTTGACGAATCGCGAATCAGTACTCATCCAGATAACCAACGTGCCCGTGTTTGGAGAAGACCTGGAGACTCTGAAAGGCAAAGAACGGCCACTGGAACGGTTCAGCAAGGTGGGAAATCAGTGTCCTTTTAGGGTGGTATTATGATTGGGGCTAGAACGCCTTTAATCCCTTATCAAGGCTTCATGATGGCAGACAGATACAAAACAGTCGCTATTGATGAAATCTTCAGACCTTTCCGAGTAAACCATGGGCACATCGAGCTCAACGAGTCAATGCTGCTCTCCGAGTATACGAAATCACAAGGTTAGACTGGCCTGCCGGCTCTCCTGACTTAAACTCATTAGAGCACGCGTGGGATGCTCTAAGCGAGCTGTTGCAGTGCCACAGCTCAGGGAAGCTGCTGTTCAAGAATGGGACAGGTTAACGTTGATTCTCAGCATGCCCAGGAGGATCTTTGCTTGTGTTCGAGCCAGAAGAGGAGATATTTTGTATTTCAATAATAAAAGGTTTTAAGTTTGATTAAACTATCTTTTTATTTCTATCATAGTTCTATTACAATTGCCTTAGATTTGAATTTTTAAAGTTTTTATACTAAAAAATAATGTAGTTTTATTTTTGAATTTTAGAAAGTGTAATTTAAAAAAAACAAATATAACTTAAACATTATTTCTTGATTAAGTTAAATTTTGAAAATATATCAGCTTTTGTAAGTGATCTTTAACTTTTTTTGATGTGTGTATAACAGAATTTGTTGTTAAAAAATATTTTTTATATTTTTGACTATTAGTGATTAAGTTTTCAGGGCTTCAGGGCTCCACTCCCCGGGTTAGGGAATTGGGCCAGGGTAGGAAACGGTTTGGGTGACAGAGAGAAGAGTAAGTATAGTGATATATTAGTATCGCAAGCGTAGGCGCTTTGCGCTTATATACCATTATAACCTATATATTGGCCACCATAGCCTATAGATAGAATTACGATCAGGCTTAGGTATATCTAAGCTTGTTTGCCACCCTTCTAACATAAAATAAAATATACTAATGAAAATAACTCAGACTTTCACCATTTCTATGGCCGTGATTGGTGAATTTTGAATATTCTAGAGCTTCACCAATTTTGAACGTACATGTAACGTTCAACCATTTTTTTGTAGAAAATACAATCTTGTTTTCCCCATCATCGATGAAAAAATTATAAAGTGACAACTCTTGTGAGAAATATCTCTATCTCATACGCAGTTACACTAATTATAAGGGTTACACAGTTCCTTGGTCTATACGCAGCCATACTCAGCGTGCGAATCTTTAAATTATTCGCTATTCCGGTTAAGTGGACGTGAGAACTTTATTGTAGTGTTGACTACCTCACAGAATCTTATCAAAAAAACTCGATATATTTCGTGTTAAATACTCCGAGAAACATTAGAATGCGTCACATTGACATTCTAATATAAAAGAAAATTAAGATAAAAACTTATACTAGGCTGCATAGGCATTGTTTCCTTTGCCTTCCGTGAAAAGGAAGAATGTAAAAATTAAAAAAAAAACAATGTCAATAAAAAGTCTCCAAAATAAATCGAAGATTTCAGTTTGGGACGAATGCGGATAACGATAAACATAATTATAATCACGAAATTGCCAATTAATTATCTTATCTGCCAATGCTATATTAAGCTTGAAATGTTAGTTGGACCCACACGTATTTTGTTGGTAGTTCTGAAGCTTCTCTGAATTTTACTTAGCAAGTTATTCAAGTAAATAGAAGTCGCAATAATTTCGTAACAAGTTGCACGGTGAAACATGTTCTTCGATCAAACTTTCATTTTTATGTAGCACGATTTTAAAGTAACTAGATTCGTTCAAAGAATGACAATGTTGACTAAAAAGTTTAAGCCTTTAGGAATATACATCCTTGTGCCTTTGTATACTATGGTGTAAGTAAAATTAAATATGTTTATTTTATTATATTTGATTAAGGGGCATTTCACAGAATTTTTATTATTTTTAAACTTTTTTTATTTTTTTTAAGATTTACACATTAGTATAATATGGAAATGAAACTTTGTGTTTTCACGCTAAGTGGAAAATTAAATTTCTGTATATTTTATTCTGTTCATAATAGTATGTATAAACAACAATAAAACAATATAGTGACACATTGAGACCGTCCTCCTTTTTTTAAAATGACTATGTTACCCAGAAAGGGAGTTCATTGTAGCAATTAATAACTTTCTATAACAATTTTGTGCATTCAATACAGAAAATATACATAACAAAATAAATAAAAATATATAATAAACAGTACTTAAATATTTGATCAATTAATCATTTAGTGACAATTATCTACTACATAAATAAAAATCAATTGTGGTTTGTTTGTCTTGCTAAAACGCGAGAATGCCTGGATTGATTTGGATGATTTTGGTTTTTGAAATTTTTGTTCTAGCCCAGGGAAGGTGTAAGAAGATAGTAAAAAAAACTAGATAGTGATATAACTTATATAGTGGCAGTTTACACTAAGGCATAACTTCCTTTAATGTTATACTCGTACTTCAGTTGTAACTAATGTATATTAAAGTACACATCATTATTTATTTTTAACGGGAAAAATATAAATACATTTGAAACTAGTTATAATGATGTTCACGGGACCATATACCTTTGGCCAATATGTGCAATTGTTGTTACAAGTAATAGACAGAAGTAGTAATTAATTGTCATGTGTATGTATGTAGTATGGATATAGATATAGGTAATGCATATGAACTATCACATAAATTTTCGAAAACAGAAGTATAATAGTTTATAATGAACAAAAAAAAAGAATATTTTCTTCACTTAATGCTTTGTATAGGGTTTAGGCTGGGACCTTGCCAATTAGTCGTTATATCCTACCCGTCTTACCCATATATTCGGTTTGACTGTAGTTTTAATATAAAATTGAATTCGTTTATTTTTAATTCATTAATATTATTCTCCATTTACATTAACTATGGTTCAGTTACACACGTTTTTGAAATCTGTTTACAGGATGCTGCTATTGGGTGCTTCAATAACAGCTGGCCTATTTGTGTTCCATGTGGTTGTAGTGCCTCTCATATTTAGGTACTCTAAGGTGTTCAGACGGAATCTTGTATTTGCTAACTTTGGTAAGACAACATTTCTTTTGCTACATTTAACAATTTAACTGAGTACTTATAGAAAATTAGATTTGAAAATGTCAACCTTCATGCAAATTTTTATAAAAAATTTTGGGTTCTGTGGTCCTGACAAGGAACCCGTATAGTTTCGTCATGTCTGTCTGTCTGTCCGTCAATGGTTTTGCTTGAAGACTGACAGCACTAGAGAACTGTAATTTTGTGGATATATGTATATCAATCAGGCTAATAATAAGGTAGAATATTTTAGGGTACCTCCCATACATGTAACCTGGAGATGATTTTATTTTTCATCATCTACATAGTGTGGGGTATCACTTAATAGGTCCCTTAACCTATTAGCCTGATTGATATACGTATCTCCACAAAATTACCCTAAAATATTCTACCTTATTATTAGCCTGATTGATATACGTATCTCCACAAAATTACAGTTATTTTTGCAATCTTACTGCGGCGACTCGCGTTATCGCAAACTATCTTTTTTCATTGACTGAGAAATAACATCGTCATTGTCTTATTATCCGCGTTTTCGCAAATTCCCTACGATTTTCACGAAAATGCGATTTATCAATTCATCCTACGACAAATGGGAAGGACCCTTCCGAGTGCGGCTGCAGTGGCAGCACACAACTTAAGCTTAAAGTTAAAGGAGCTTAAAGTTATGGGGGGTGTAGCACCAGTAGTACCCCCTAGTATGAGCACTGCAATATGATATATCGCATCGAATTGTAAAATTAACAGTTAGACGCGATAAAAAACAGGGGCTGGATTTTAATTCAATATTGTTCAATCAAGTAAGCCTATTCAAAAGGCGTGTTGTGACTTGAAATCGAAAAGCTATGATACCAGTTTGCAATTACAATTATGGATTGTTGTACCCAGAAGAACAATCTAGAAACTAAGCATAGGCTGATTTGATGTGAAACATCTATTGTAGTAGTATAGGGGTAAAGATGGGGATGATGGGGATATAAAGTAAATGAAATTCTATTTAGTTCGTCAGAAGGACACTTATTTTTTCTTTGCCAGTCGACCAAAACATAAGAAGTTGGGTCTTGTGACGTCACTTCTAAGTAAAAATTGTACGATGAAAAGACGTCATGGGACATTTCAAATTAATATGTCTCTGTTTTCTCCGTAAAATACGTGTCTAATATTTTTCGATAATCTACCTGATAGAAGAAGAAACTTCCATGATGTCTTTTGAAAAATAGGTTTTAATTTGTATGTATTACATCTGATACGTGGTGCATTTGTCGTAGGATGAATTGATAAATCGCATTTTCGTGAAAATCGTAGGGAATTTGCGAAAACGCGGATAATAAGACAATGACGATGTCATTTCTCAGTCTTAATGAAAAAAGATAGGATTTTTGCGATAACGCGAGTCTCAAGATTGCAAAAATATTAGGTAAGGTTAGTGTTGTCACAAGCCCCCCTAGCATGAACACCGCGACATTTATTTGATAACGCGTTTTTATCACGCTCAATAATTGATTGTCAAATTATTATGAAGTTTGACAGACGCGATAAAACACGTGATATAATAAAAAATTGGGTTGTGCTCATGCTACGGAAGCATGCCATGAGCGTGCCATAAATCACACTATTATAAAGGCAAAAGTTTGTCAGTGTCTATGTTTGTGACTTTTTCTCATCTAAACCAATTGTCCAATTTGGTGTGGAGTTAGATGACACCCTGGATTAACACATTGGTTACGTTTTACTCCGGGAAAATATCCCTTATAAACCGCGGGTAATACCGCGGGGCAGAGCTACTATTCAATAACAGTAAGATTGAGAAATCTCATCGCCTATATCTAATTATCCGTGCTTTTGCAGAATCCCTACGATTTTCGCGAAAAATCTATTTTTCTAATCATCATACGACACATACACACACGAACTAGCCGTTACATTGGTGTCGATTCTGGCGTGATTCTCTAAACTTAAAACTAAATTTAACATCAATGGTGTCGATTCCAGCGTGATTTACTAGACTTAAAAGTATACTTAACATCAGTCTGTCTTTTTCATTCCGTATAGAGAATGACAAGGATACACTGTTGTCAAATTTAAGTTTAGACTTAGAGAATCGTGACAGAATCGACACCAATCTCTCCTTTTCGTTCGGTATAGAGATTAACAAGGATACACTGCTATCGAATTTAAGTTTAGGTTTAGAGAATCGTGTCAAAATTGACACCATTGTTCAACTATATTTTTTATAGCTTAATTTACAAGTGCAAAAACAAATCTATTATTATGTATTATTAATGAAAATCACAACCTCAACCCATGTTCAAAAATAGCCTAAAATCAGTAATTATCATATTTATTTTTACTTAATAACCGAGTCACTGAACAAAACAAGATAAAAGATGAATTTTGTTTACTTGATCTTTGAAACCGACATATTTTAACAACAAAATTTTATTATGCTATAGTAAACTGGCGATTTTGTCCGTCTGATGATGGTCTATTGAAATCAAAAAATCACTGTTGAACCTTTTGTGGGAATGCAAATTCCACAACATCAATATATATTTCAATCTTCTAAGTTTTTTTTTGGATAATGTCACAGGAAGCCAACATGTTTCAGGGACAAAAAGTATACTATGTCTCAATCCAGGCAATAAAATATATTTGTGCCAAATTTCACCAAAATCCGTTTAACGTTTATTGCGTGATTGAGTAACAAACTTAAAAACTTTCACATTAATAATATTAGTAGGATGTTTTCATGCTCACCTTTTATTGTTATTTTTTAATGTTTCATCTAAAATGGCTTCATAGAATCTCATGTCATTTTTTGTCGCTTTGGAGTATGTAGTGGGGTCCCTGAATAGTTTAGTTAGGACTGGAAAGTGGGCCCGGAAGAGTGAAAGCAGCGCACTCTGGGTTCAGAATTTTTAAGCAGATAACAACACATGGGTTAAGAGTTTCACTATATGTTTCATAAATCCAATTAAATTTAAATTTTCAACTGGTTTGAAATGCTTTTTTAAATACTTTTATATATATCTATGTTGTTGTGCTCTCCATGTAGAGGGTATCCCTGAAGGACCGCATCAGAAATGATGTAATCCGACAGAGAACCAAAGTCAACGACATAGCCCACCGAATAAGCAAATTTAAATGGCAGTGGGCTGGTCACATTAGCCGCAGAACTGATGGCCGTTGGAGCCGGAAAGTTCTCGAGTGGCGACCGCGACTCGGTAAACGTAGTGTAGGACGCCATGAGACAAGATGAGATGATGATATTTGTAGGCTGGCCGGAGTGGGCTGGATGAGAGTAGCACAAAATCGAGAGCAGTGGCGTGCATTAGGGGAGACCTATGTCCAGCAGTGGACGAACAGGGGTTGATGATGATGATGATATCTACGTTTCGGATCCTTTACAGGCTCCGTGATCAAAGGTATGATTTTTCTTAAGGAATTTTCTTTATTTCAGTTCTATTGCCTTACAATATAGACCATGATGATCCGTCCGCTAATGGTATCGATGGAGCTCGCAGCTTCAGTTTGCACTACCAGTCTAAAGTCGACAACTGCTCGGTGAAGATTGGTAAGTTCTTTATTCTTTATTGCTTGCCACATATAGTACATAAACAATTACCTACACCCTGTGACACCCTGCAATGGCGTTGCAAGTTTACTTAAATTATTATTATTGTTTAAATAAACTAAATTATTGGTACAGATATTGCAATCCGAAGACGCGCCCCACTATTCCTCCTAACCGTTTATAGCAAATGTGTACCAGCTTCCGCCAATATTTGAGAGTTATCGGTACACACTACAATTATCTATGATAATAATAAATAATAATATGATAATTATCTAATTATCTTTCTATCACTAATTTATCCTTCAACCAAAACTTGGTGGGGGCGTATCTTCTGTATACGTACAGTATCTTTATAACATTCAAAAAATTTAAATTTAAAAACTAGATCATGTCCCCAAATGCTGGGACCGATACGGAGATTGGGCCATTAACCACCACGCGGGCCCAGTGCGGATTGGTGGGTGCTAACGACTGCAAATGCAGCCGGGACCAACGGCTTAACGTACCTTCCGAAGTACGGAGGAGCTCGAGATAGTAAATTTTTGGTCACACATCCAATGACCGACCACTGCGAAAGTTGCTTAATTTCAACGATCGCAGCCGCTAACCACTTGCGCCATCGAGGCTCTCACAAACCACTTAGAATTTTTAATTTAAGAGGTATGCCATTAAATTTAATTTTATTATTATTTTATATAAGACGATCTCGAGGAGACACTTAAAGCCAAACAGATGAGCGACTTTTGTCGCCGCAAAAATAGATCGCTTACAACTGCATCGAGTGACGCATACGACGCTGACCTTTTGCTGGTCTAGTCGGTCAAAAATCAAATTATATATATTATAAAAAAAGCGAGTGTGCTTAAGACCACACGACTGAAGTGAAACTTCTTAAGCTCCATCTGTATGTATATACATATATGTGTGACAGGTGACACTTTTCGTAACGCGTAACGTATTCGCCAGTATACCCCCCCAAGTCAAGCGTGCCTAAATTGTTCATTGTGTACCGATGAGTAACCGGTGACACTATTCGTAACGCGTAACGCATTAGTTTACCCACCAAGTCAAGCGTGCCTAAAGAAGTTTCACTTAAAAAACTGGTTCTTTTCTCGAATGACTAGAGAACAATAGACAACCCGTCCCGTTCACTTATTGCATGCATCCACGCAGGCGCACTTGTTTTGCCTGGAAGTTAGTCATCACTTCAACTGATCGTCTCTTACGCGTTTCGTATGTGTGATAGCCTCTGATAAGAAGTAAAATATTTGCGTGATTAAGAACTGACTTCTTTCAAAATATTGTGTCTGGATGTGGATCAAGGAGATAACAACGCATATTTTTAAACGACGACCTCCGTGACCGAGTGGTTTGTACGCCGGGTTGCATGGTGTCGCCGACTCGAGAGGTCCCGAAGTTCGAATCCCGGTGAGGGCAAAATGTTTGTGTGATGAATACGAGCATTTGTACTCCAGTCATGGATGTAAAATATTTATTTCTATATAAATATACTTATATATGCACAATATATGTATTCTATCCGTTACCCTAGCATCCCATAACACAAGCCTTACAGTGCTTACTTTGGGGCTAGGCTAATTGGTGTGAGTGTTGGAAATATTTATTTATTTATTTTAAAATACAAAGCTGTATATTTTTGACACGATATTAGTATTTGAAGTTAAAAAATATAGTTACAATTTTAATTTTTTAAGCTACTGCCTTGAAGCTTAAGAAATCGACATCGGCTATAAAGAATTCGACACGGCCATCAGGACCGCGGTAGCATAATTGGTCAGTGTATTCGCCCTATTAACGAAAGGTGCAGGTTCAAGTCCCGTCTGCTGCGTGGTCCGCGTGAAATTTTTTCTAGTAATATTTTCTTTAAATTTGAAAATATAGTTTAAAATTTTAACCCAATTTTTTAGTAGGAAAAGGTTTTTGTTGTATTTCCGGTTATTAGCCGTCCACACCCGTTTTGCTCTGAGGTGACATACCAAGACAGTTAAAATTTTGATTCTGGGGGAGGTTTCTGGGGGATATTGACAGTGATTTGAAGGATGATGAAGAACAACGAAACTCATCGCCATCATAGTTTAGAAAAAATAACATATTTTAGCTATATTCTTATTATTTATGCATAAAATGTTTTGTTTAAGCTGCAAGGCAGCGCCATCTGTTCGCATTATAGGTAGCCCACAATGTCAAATAAAAACATTTACAAGTATTAAACAATAAAGTATTAAAAAAAAATTGAAAGAAGAAATAGCAATTATAGTTATAATTTTTATTTTTTTAAAGCATGTAACTGCTTGATGTTTAAAGCTAAAGAAAATGTAACTAGGAAAAATTTCACGCGGACCAGGCAGCAGGTAGCAGATGGCGTCGCCTTGCAGCTTAAAAATGGCTAGACGAATTTCGACGCGGTCCGTGAGGGCCGCGGTAGCATAATTGGTCAGTTCATTCGCCCGGATTGCGAAGGGTGTGGGTTCGAGTCCCGTCTACTGCCTGGTCCGCGTGGATTTTTTTCTAGTTATATTTTCTTTAGATTTAAACATCAAGCAGTTACATGCTTTAAAAAAATAAAAATTATTATTTTTATCATGTTATTATATTTCATTTCATTCAATTAATTCATTGTGTATTAATTTTATTATCAATAATTAATAACCTACTGATAATATCTGTAAGTAATGATATCTCATAAAACTATATTTTTCTACGAGTTTTATGTTGTTATAAACACAATTCAGGACTGACGACTGAACTTGGCATCAATTTTGATCTCACTTCTTTTATCGTTGAAGTTCACAACCGAGGCATATAGGTATATCACAATATCGAACTCTTAGTTCTCATCACATTTATGTATCTGATAGGATCATAATAAACAGGAGTAATTATTTTTTAAACTGCATTAGAAAAACCACAGAGGTTTGTAGCAATGCTAATTACACGTGCAGGACTAGGTTAATAGTTAATTAAATACAAAGTACATGTTTATATGACACAGCTAAGTCCATTTCAAGGTCATAAAATAAGTCTTTCAATTTGTATTTAATATTCAATGGTGTTAACTAAGAATACGAAGGGTGTTTAGGCTTTGATTAAAACAAAAGGGGAAGATATTAGTCCAGTCAGTATTGTCGCGAAATCCGTTTTTCCTCAAACAGCTGGAACTATGCTAAAAAGTTTCTTAAGATAGTAAAGAACACTTTACATAGAGAAAAAAATGTTTCCAACCCCGGGCAAGGGTGAAAACCACCCTTAATAATCTATTTTTCCAATTATCTCAAAAAGTATACGAGATACGGAAAAAACTTCAAATGAAAATTGTAGATCTTTTTGAAATCTACAAAACATTATTCCACCCTCTTGCCCCTATTTTCAATAGGGGAGCCAATAATCGAAGTCAAAGATTCAATACTTAAAAAGTTAAAGTTAGTTAAAAAAGTTATCTTTGACTTCGATTATTGGCTCCCCTATTGAAAATAGGGGCAAGAGGGTGGAATAATGTTTTGTAGATTTTAAAAAGATCTACAATTTTCATTTGAAGTTTTTTTCCGTATCTCGTATACTTTTTGAGATAATTGGAAAAATAGATTATTAAGGGTGGTTTTCACCCTTGCCCGGGGTTGGAAACATTTTTTTCTCTATGTAAAGTGTTCTTTACTATCTTAAGAAACTTTTTAGCATAGTTCCAGCTGTTTGAGGAAAAACGGATTTCGCGACAATACTGACTGGACTATATGGTACGCTCATACTAGCATCAAATAAAATATGCTCCGACTCAACTACATAAGCAACTGTCATAATCATAATCAAAATCATTTATTCAGTTTAGGCTGTTACAAGCACTCATGAATGTCTAGAAGCTACGCCATCGGTTCGTAAATCTAATGCGGGAGACCTTGTACTGAGAAGAACCGGCAAGAAACTCGGCAAGGGCTGGTTTTTTCTCCCTGTTTTATTATTTACAGAGTCGTCAAATTGAAAAATGACTTCAGAGATGATTCATGAAGTCACCTTTCATTACATAATTATTAAATATACGTTAATTGTTTACTTGCATTTTGATTGGTGTGTCATACAGCACAAACGCACATGTCTGCAAATAAACATTCAATCGAGCGAGCGATACAGAACTGTCGCTTCAACGCAGCGCGAGCGAAACGGCGAATCTGCGTCCGAGTTCGCACGGCTGAGCTGTATTGTTGTCCTTTTCTTGAATAAAAAAATGGCGATTACGTAAATAACATTCACGACAAACCGTGCATTTTGAGAAAAAATGTTTAATTACATTTTTACGAATGAAAAGTGTTGCCGATGCATTTGTTATTTGATTTTGAACTATTTGTGTTTTGTTTACACATGCATCGAAGGCATTGTTTTATCTTTATAACGCAGAATATACGCAATATTGTTATATTGTGTGCACATGCAGTGTGCTTGAATGTCCAATTGTGTGTAAAGCGAATTTTACTGTGGGCATGACCACAATTTAGGCGGATCACTTTTGAGCTGCGAGTGCCGTATCTTCCCTTTTTATTTTAATCTAAGGTGTAAGAGCGGGAAGCACACGATACGTTGCGGCGGCGGTGCGGCGCCGGAGCGGTGTCGCTGCGTCGTCTTAGATAGAAATATGTGTGGCATGTCACACGATTCACCGCACCGTTCTTGCAACCACCGAGACGAGGCGGGGAGGGGTGACTGCTTTGCGACGTCGGAGCGGCACCGCTCAGTTGATTATGCGTCATAGAGAATGTACGCTGCCGGGGTGCCGGCGGCGCTGATGCGATGTAACGTTACGGAGCCGCACCGCTTGAGTGCTCACGCACTTATGCAACTAAACCTGCGGGTAGTTCTTTGCTTATATGCGGGACTAGGAAAGCAGTAGTTCCATTACCGTTTGCTCGCTTCGTACATATCTGGTTTCGAGCAGTAGCACGGGATAAAACAGGATTATACACTTTGTGCTTTAGAAATTCGTTCAAAAAGTTTTCCTTTATTTTAAATTGAATGGGGACCGGTAATATTTTACAATGATTAAATAATTCCATATCGGCACTAGAAAAATGATTTTTTTTATTGTTTTTAACTGGAGTTGGAAAACAGGTCACTTTAATATGTTTTGTGAGTTCGTCCATAACTACTACGTTATACAACATTACCCACACTCTGAATGGAATTCGGTCCTTTAAAATTATCACGTTTCTTAAAAACCGTCTCAATTTATTGCAGACGGGTTCAATATATTAATGTTATTATAATTATTTATAAGTAATTATTACAATCAATAATTATTAAAGTATTTTTTTAAACTTTTATATGAATATGCTCCAGGTATATGGCATATTCTACCCAAGTCAACTTACGAGAGATTGAAAGGGGATTTTGAAGATAACATAGATAAAGAAGAGTTGAGTAGAAAGTTAGATGAAGAACTGGCTAACTCGCAGACTCCTATCATGATGTATTGTCATGGTAAGTAAAAACAATATTATTTTGTTAGTAAACACAACACATACATGTTCACTGTACTTATTATATAGTCAGGAACCTAACATTTTTTCGGGTGCTAAATGATTCTATATCTTAATCCAGCTAATAAACAATATGAATGCCATCATATAACCCAATATTTCATCCAAATCCGTTCAACCGTCTTTGCAAACAAACATACAAACTTTAACATTTATAATATTAGTAAGATAAATTGATGGGCCCCAATGTGATACTTGGGGTATGCCAGCATAGATAAATTTATAATGCCAGCAATGCCAGGTTATAATTTATTCTATAGTAAAAAAATTACAGCCAACGTAATGGTATAGTTCGTTAGATGAAAATCATTACACTTTATTGTCTAGGAACCATCGTTTCAGGGTTGTAGATATTTATTAATAAAAATTGCCACCAACACAGCCACAGCAACTTATAGATTTCCCTCTATTGATATAGAATTTTACCAAACTTATAACGTTTTAATTTATTCATTATTTAATCTGGGGTCCTTTATGAGAGGCGTGAAGAAGTATTTTTGCAGGCCGGCAAGGTGAGGATGATTGGTGTAGCAGTTTATAACTGCTGTACCAGCTATCTTCGCGTTTGGACTTTATTACCACTTAACATCAGGTGGGGTAAAGTCATTTGCCTACCTCTATATAATAAAAAAAAAATAAAAAAAAGAGAATGCTTTATACTATGTAATGATACTTACAGGCGACATTAATATAAACATTATACACGCTATGCATGATGCTGGAACATAAGATTACCTTTATCTATGTTCATATCATTTACCATACCTTTACCCAGCTCATACATTGCTATTACATCAGAGTGGTTCTTGTCTCAATATGGTGATAAATTCCGGTCTCACTTATTCAATTCAAATCATTTATTTCAGAACTAGTTTCCATAGTGTTAGTAACATTTGATTTACTAATAAACTATGTTAGCATAATACAGAATTATATAATAGTACATTATGATATAAGTGCGGTAAGTTGAGAATTACAGCCGAGGCGATATTGTTAGCCCGAGCCGTAGGTGAGCCCTTATAGCCCATAAGAAGGCAGAGGCTGTAATTATCAAACCACACGTATGTCATACGACGTTTTATAACACATTTGCAAGGAAATAATACTACCTACTACGTGCGTACTTTCTGAAAAGAAATTTGCAGCTTTGTTTGTTTTCCATAAGATAAAATTTTGATACGCTTGACTGTATCTATCCGTGGATTTTTCGGGCAAGAGGCTTAGCGTAGCCTTTTTCGACTTCTGGCGGTGTCAAATTAATAAATTCGTTACTACTTGACAATATTTTCAAATAAAAACAATACAGCGAAAAGAAATAACTTTTTCACAGATTAGCGATGCGCGCGCATCAACGCTATTTTAAGGCAAAGGAACAAAAAACAGCCAGTGTTACTAATAAAGTAAATTAATATTTTTGTGAATTTGTTACCGATGCATGGTTGTAATTTATTGTCAAAATGAATCAAATTAAAGAATTAAATGTTTATATATTATATTTTATCTCCCAAAGTTAATTTTATTAAGAAAATGTTGGCTACCTTTCTGACATAAAAACTCTTTGCTAAGATTTAAAATTATGATATTGAAATTGGTGCAATAAGACGCTTTACAAGCAAATGTGTTATAAAATATTATTACAAGACAATGGAGCTTCACCCAGTGTCGTAGCAGAGGAGTGTCCCACCTGTCATTAAACACTCTCAGGAGGCTGTTGGTACTGATGCGGAGCCTAGTGAGCATGGAAACGGACCACTTTCTTATAATAGCATAGAAGTCGTCCGTATGCACGTCCGCAAACATTTTTGACGCGCTGCAATTCCACGACAGTCTCAACAGTATCCTAAATCTATCTTAGAAGTTCACGTTAACTTAGAAGTTTGATTTTTTCACAGCTTCAAGGGACCACAGACCATATCATTTACTCATCATCATCAGTCTATTAATGTCCCCAGTGCTGGGGCACAGGCCTTCCCTATGGATGGAATAGGGAGATTGGGCCATGGACCCACCACGCGGGCCCTGTGCGGATTGGTGGGTGTTAACGACTGCAGATGCAGCCGGGACCAACGGTTTAACGTGCCTTCCGAAGCGCGGAGGTAATCGAGATAGTAAATTTTTGGTCACCCATCCAATGACCGACCACTGCGAAAGATGTTTGACTTCAACGATCGCAGCCTAACGCGCTAACCACCTACGCCACCGGCTCCTCCATTTACTCAATTATTTAAATTATAACTTGATACCTCCGCGCTTTCTCAAATAGAGCCTTGACAGACAGACAGACATACGGACAACAAAGTGATCTTATAAGAGTTCCGTTTTTTCTTTTTGAGTGCGGAACCCTAAAATAATAGGATTTTTGCAAAATCGCGGGTCGCCTCAGTAACATTTCAAATAGAATAGTCGGCTGATTTTATTATAAACTAGTGGCCCGCCCTCGCTTCGCTTCGGTATAGAGCTGTAGTGTGGACTTAAATGACTCTTCATATAATTATAAAAAAAAACTGAAAATGGTATATGTATTTGCCTTTTCCAAACTTCTATTGACATCACGTCACTCAATTGTTTTGCCTTCCCGGAACCCCTCCACTAATATTTGAATTTTATAGTATGGTATTAAAGTTCAAATTGACTTAAGTATTATTACGACTCGTTTGTGTGGGAGTGTAGAAAAGTGTTGTTTTTGGACTTTTACAGGCATTTTTTTTTTAATTTTTCTCTGCGTAAGAATCATCCTCGTACTTCAAGGAATATTTTAAAAAAAGAATTATCGAAATCGGTTTAGCTGTTCTCGAGATTAGCGCTTAGCAATACATTCAGCGATTCTTTTTTATATCTATACTAATATTATAAAGCTGCAGAGTTTGTTTGTTTGATTGTTTGTTTGAACGCGCTAATCTCTGGAACTACTGGTCCGATTTTAATGATTCTTTCAGTGTCGGGTAGTCCATTTATCGAGAGGCGAGAAGGCTATAGGCTTTTTTTTCAAAATTAGGGATCCGTAATAAAATTGCTATTTTGTAACACAAGGTGTAAAATCGAAAACCTATTTTTGCGTGCGCTGCAAAAACTATTGACAATAGAACAAAATGATGTACTACGGGTTTGTAGATCCCATTAAGACATACAAAGCTAAATACTTGGGGGATAAAGCCGAGCGCGTCCGTGGGCTTTAGCTCTAGATACCCACACGTGTCCCCTGGGTAGCGCCAAATGCTCGGCACATCACCGGTGGTAGGTTTCGACCGTGGCTGGTAACCACCCTCTAGGCAAAGCCGAGCCGCCAAACGACTTTCATCGTGTTTCGGCTCGATGCCTGGTGTTGCCGTTTTTAGGGGGGGAGTCCGAGCAGTTGCGATGTACAGCTTGCCGGCTTCGGTGTTGCGTGATTGCTGCGCTGGGTGGCTGATCGCGGAGGGTAGCGGGATCCTAAGCACGGTTCTCCGCTGGCCGACCGCAGGTAGTAGGGGGCCCAAGTAGTAGGAAAGCCACCTACGAAAGGCTGCCCCGCCAACTCGCGAAAAATCCCAAGGTGCGCCATCGTGCCGGTTGGCGACCGGATGCGAGGGCCCGATGGACACTTTTGGGGGGGTTAGGGCGTCCCCGCGCGCTCCAGCTCAGTCACCCATCAGTGTGGAGTCATAACTGCATCGCTTGGCAGTAGCTTAGCAGAGTCTCGCTCATCTGTCCCCTTCCTGCCTGTTCACTCTCTACTTATGAAAAAAAAAAATATGAAAGTCAAAAGAAAGAAACTGGTGAAACAGCGGATGCACTCCCTCGCACTAAAAGTGCACCTTGCTAACGTCCGAGGATTGCACTCAAATATCGATAGTGTCCATCACCACCTTGAGACCGATAAACCACATCTGCTGTTCCTCACGGAGACTCAAATAAGATGCCCGACTGACGCAGCTTACTTGCATTACCCAGGTTACATCCTGGAGCACAATTTTAAATCGCGCGCTGGCACCTGCGTGTATGCTCGTGATGACATCTGCTGCCAACGTCTCCGCAACCTTGAGAATCCCAGTTTCTCTACATTATGGGTGCTGGTGAACACAGGTATAGAGCAAATACTCTATGCCAGTGTTTATCGGTCGCACACAGAGAACATAGAGACAACCAGGTTTTTTCAGTACCTCAGCGCCTCCGCTGAAACAGCCCAGCAAAGGTACCCGAGTGCGCAGCTAGTCGTTCTGGGGGACTTTAACGCACACCACCATGAGTGGTTGTTCCCGTTCCAGAAAACCGACCATGCCGGGAGATTAGCGCACACATTTGCTATGTCGCTAGGTCTCTCCCAGCTTGTGAAGGGCGCTACACGTGTACCCGATATTGATAGCCACACACCAAACTGCCTGGACCTTCTGCTGTCAACAGACCCGGACCGTTACCAGGTGGTAATTTCGTCTCCTCTAGGGAGTTCCGACCACTGTCTGGTGAAGTCCGTATCAGTCTACTCTCCAAGCGACCCGGAACCTATCGGAACTAGGCGTGTTTGGCGATATGGTTCAGCAGACTGGGATGAGATGCGGCATTTCTTTGCATCTTATCCTTGGCGTCGCACCTGCTTTTCTTCGGACGACCCGACTTGCTGCGCGGATGCCATTGCTGACGTGGTGCGTCAGGCTATGGAGTACTTTATTCCATATTCTGACGTACCACGCCGGTTTAGCGCCCGCCCTTGGTTTGATGCGGACTGTGCTAAAGCGGAGGCGCTTAAGCATTTTGCGTATCGCTCCTGGGCGGATGCTCGAGCCCGCAAATCACCAAATGTTCGAAGTCTGAAGAAGGCCTTTAACAGTGCCGCCAAGTCCTGTAAAGGTGTTCTCCGCAAGGCCCGCTTCGATCACATTGGCCGTATAGGAGCCAAATTAGCCTCCTTTCCATCCGGAAGCAAGGCTTTCTGGTCCCTAGCCAAAACAGTCGAAGCCAATTTTTGCCGGTCGTCGCTGCCGCCTTTAATTAAACCTGACGGATCGCTGGCTCACACCTCCAAAGAGAAGGCTGACTTGTTTGCCTCTATATTTGCGAATAACTCACAGCTAGATGCTGCTGGCGTAAACCCACCTAAGCTTCCTCAGTGTTCTTCTGCCATGTTGGAAGTTCGCATCCATCAGAAAGAGGTACTAAAAACGCTAAGCACTCTAGACGTGAATAAAGCCAGTGGGCCCGATGGCATTCCAGCTATTGTCCTGCGGAATTGTGCCCCTGAGTTGTCTCCTATTCTGACTCGCCTGTATCGCTTATCCCTTGAGATTGGCCAAGTTCCGAAAACCTGGAAGCTTGCCAATGTCCAACCAGTGCCCAAAAAGGGTAGTCGTGCCGACCCTGCCAACTATCGACCTATTGCAATCACCTCCATACTCTGTAAGATTATGGAGCGTGTATTGAACAACCGTCTCCTCGCTTACCTCGAAGATAACGATCTCCTCGGTGACTGCCAATTCGGTTTCCGCCGTGGGCGATCTACTGGGGATCTTCTTGTGTATGCTACCCACTTATGGAGTGAAGCCATAGAGAAACGCGGCGAAGCTCTCGCCGTGTCTCTTGATATTTCTAAGGCTTTTGACAGGGTCTGGCATGCAAGTCTCATTGGCAAGCTTCCTTCATATGGAATCGCTGTCGGACTTTGCAACTGGATTGCAGATTTTCTGAGGGGCAGATCGATACGAGTGGTCATTAATGGCACATCGTCGGATCTGCTTGGTATTAATGCCGGTGTCCCCCAGGGATCTGTCCTCTCCGCAACTCTATTCTTGCTGCACATCAATGATCTGCTCCTAACTCCTGGTATCTTTGGGTATGCAGATGACAGCACAGTTTCGGGGAGGTATCTGCCTGATGTGAAGTCTGATGCAGATGTCCGATCATTAGGGGAGGCGATGGTGGAGGGAGTGAATGCAACCCTGGAAGCTGTTTCCCTCTGGGGTGAAGCCAACTTGGTTGGGTTCAATCCCTCTAAAACACAGGCCTGTCTCTTCTCGACGAAACGGAGTCCATTCCATCTGACTCCGACTTTCCGAAATGTCTCCGTGCCGGTTAAAGACCATCTCGAGCTCTTGGGTATGGACATCTCATCCAGCCTCAATTTCGGTCCCTACATCGAGTCCATTGCTAAAACCGCTGCCAGAAAACTTGGAATACTTTCTAAGGTCAGGCGATATTTTACATCTGAGCAGCTCCTTAACCTTTACCGAGCCCAAGTTCGCTCCTGCTTGGAGTACTGTTGTCACCTTTGGGACGGATCTGCTCGGTATCAGCTGGATGTACTGGACTCGGTGGAACACCGTGCGAAGAGACTCATAGGCAATGACGCTCTCGTTGAGGCTAATCTTCAGAGCCTCGACCACCGAAGACGTGTAGCTTGCCTTTCGGTGTTTTATCGGTTACATTTCGGAGAGTGTGCGGAGGTATTACATAATTTGATCCCCCCTTCCCCTTTCCACCACCGGACGACCAGGCGCGGCGAGGGCTTCCACCCTTATGTTGTCGAAGTTCCTCCTATTCGCACGAAGCGATTTGCTTCGGCCTTCATTATACGAACGGCTAGGGAGTGGAACTCCTTGCCGAGGTCTGTTTTCCCGGACCAATATAACCTGGACATCTTCAAGGCCAGAGTGAACAGGCATCTTCTAGGCAGGCGTGTACCATCCTAGGCCTCATCATCGCTTTCCATCAGGTGAGATTGTGGTCAAACGCATTGCCTATTTAGCATAAAAAAAAAAAAAAAAAACAAAAAAGTCCGCGAGAACATATATTTAGCTATCATGGTTTAATCACAATAACCGATTTTGTGTTCAAAATAATTATTAAATCGTCTGAAGAAAAAAAAACTACGTTAAATATGTATCGTAATATTAATCTTTATCGAAATTAAGTATTATGTTATCAAGAGTATTTATGTAGAAGTAAAATACTTTTTGCTTCATCTCAATCGGATATTACGTTTAAAAGTTATCACATGTGTAAGATGTTAAGAGTTGGTACCTATTAATGAGTTATGGGCCATAGAGTTTTTTATCAACATAAAATTCTGTAATAATCTTCTTTCGAAATATATTTGTTGATGATTGTAAACGCGGGAAACCGCGGGGCACGGCTAGTTATAGATATTCTTGGGTTTTTCTGTTCACACTTGGTTTCTGTTGTGAATAGTGGCCATTGGTAAAAAATCGTTAACAGTAAGATTGAACACGATTTTTCATATTATGATCCTACGACATGTACACAAAAGTTACTATAATCATATGGTCTGATTCGATTAGTGATTGTTTTTTGTTTTCTTCCAGGTAATTCCAACTCGCGTGCCGCCGGGCACAGAAAAATGCTTTACAAAGCCCTCCAGAAAATGGATTTTCATACAATCGCGTTTGACTATAGAGGCAAGTCATATGAAATTTGTAGTGCTCGTAAATCTTTAGCTTTTTATTTTTCTGATATGAATAATGAAGAATCTTCATTGTTATGTTTAAGTCAAATTTAAGCTAAATATAAAATGATTTCATTTAAAAAAAGAGTTATGTTCAATTTCTACAAGACGTTTTTAGTGTTGGAGATTTTTAGATTCCGTTGGCACTAGGATAAAGAGATAAAGGCAATCTGCAAACAAATCAATGATTTAAAGAAAAGTTTACTAGAAAAATTTCCACCGGACCAAGCAGCAGACGGGACTCGAACCCGCACTGCCACTGGTCCGGTGGATTTTTTTTCTAGAAAACTTTGCTTCAGATTTAAACTTCTAGCAATTAAATGCTTAAGAAATAAAAAATATAAATCAATGATTTTTTCACTTGTTAGTTTTTCTTTGAACCTTTTAGGATTTGGAGATTCAACCAATCTGCAGCCAACGGAAGATGGTGTTGTGGAAGACTCTTTGATAGTATATGAATGGATACATAATACAGTGGAAAAGTCAAGTAAAAAACCACCCATATTCGTATGGGGGCATTCTCTCGGTAAGCAGAATTTTCACTGTATTTTTATTCACTCAAACTCAAACCCTTTATTTGCAAACTAAGGCCCGTATTACAGAATGACAACTAAGTGTTGATCTTTACTTGAGTACAGTTAGAAAGGGATGTCGCTATGTGCTATATATAGCAACATCCCTTTCTAACTATGCTCAAGACTAGATCAATCACTGAGAATCTTTCTATAATACGGGCCTTAGTATTACATACGATTCTTAAACATGATACATAGCATCTTATGACTTAGTCACCTTGTAAAGGTATAACAATTATAATAGATAATAATTAAACATTACAATAAACGGAAAGTTTCAAGACACGCACAATAGTCCAATAATTAGGACTAAGTGCGGAAACCGCCCTGAAAAACTAAAAATCGTCCCTTAAATATTAAGTTTTTATCAAAACTGTGCCGCCTTGTTCAAACATTGTAAAAACTGTTCACAATTACACAAAGACAAAAAAGTCTTTACTTATGACTTGATATTTAGTTTCTGTCTTTTGTTCCGTAATTTGAGATCCCAGAAATAATCTTTTAATGTGGGTGGCATTCCACCCTCATGGGGGAAGTTTAAATAGGAAACCATTTTTTCCATGCAGATGAAGTTGGTCATTGGCGAAGTCAGTCTTCATTCATTGGGCAGTCAAAAGAGACATATACATTAGGCATTTTTCCTCGTTCCTAGGTACAGGCATATCCTCCCACCTGTTCGGATCGTTGGAAGAGTTGTGTGCCACAGTGTTGGAGAGAGAATCTCCCCTGCCGCAGCCCAATGGGCTCATCCTGGAGTCTCCGTTCACCAATTTGGCAGACGAGGTGGCTGCTCATCCATTGGCAAAGGTATTTATTAATTTTATTTATAAAATAGGCTTTTTGAAATCGTTCTACGTTATTTATTAGTGTATAGTGACTCCATAAATAGTGGATTTTATAATTCTGTTGCGTATTTCAATAAAAAAAAAAAATGTATTCAATTTTGCCGCGGAAAGCTTTCTCTAGCAAATAACAATCAATCATTATATAATAATATTCGTTGTCGTCGGTAACAATAACTTGTAAAAATTTATATAAATGTGCCTCCATGACATGCTGAACAGCATACGAAAATTTGTTATCATTACATTTTAAATTCAATAAAATCGTAATCATAAAAGAATTAATATATTAATCTATAAATAGTAGACTATAGTTTTTGTTCTCAGGCTTGTATTATACACAATGACATTCTTCTAATACCCAATTACAATAGGCACGCGCCGCCAAGCCCGGTAGCGTCGGAACCGCTATGTCCCTGAATTTTAAATTTGTAATATCTTCGAAAATATTCATTTAAATTATATGCGTTAAAGGGCCAAATTGTTCTATATTAAATGCACAATGTATTTAAGGTACTTAATTGGATAAGGATGAATGTTATATTGCTTAAAATCGCTTCGTAAATAATCTATTATTTCTCGTAAAAAGTATAGGATAAAAATTGGTTATTGTGGGTTATCCTTAAGAGATAGACATATACCATCGCGGACTTTTTTGTAGACCTTTTTAAGGTGTACAATACTGTAGTACATTATCTTGATCTATCTCGTGGGGTTCAGCCAGCGTTTGCAATGTAAGCGCAAAAAATGTGTTTATTTACGACCTTACATTAAAAACCTCTAAAATTATCAGTGTTTCTCTACTATATTATCCATATAAACCTTTCTCTTGAATCACTCTATCTATTAAAAAAAACCGCATCAAAATCCGTTGCGTAGTTTCAAAGATTTAAGCATACAAAGGGACATAGGGACCTAGGGACAGAGAAAGCGACTTTGTTTTATACTATGTAGTGATAAAAAAATTTTAAATCGATATATCAGTATCCGTTAAAAATTCATTTACATTATAATAACATTTATCCACTAAATATTTCGTCAGTATTTTTTTAAATGTATTTATATTATAATATATAATGCTGTCAGGTAACTTATTATATATATACTTTAGGAGCCGTTTCTGCAACACTTTTCTTCATTAGAGCTGTTCTACACATATTTGTACAAATTTGAGGTTTCCGATGGCGAAGGCCGAGCATATTAGTCTGTTCTCTTACTTTAAAAAGATCTGGATTACTAATATGGCGGGTTTACAGGCGGGTGACGTCACACGGCACTCATTTAAAACGTTGAGAAGTACAAATTAATATCACTTCTATGGCATTTTTACAAGCAGGTGACGTCATTTCAGTTCTGCCAATCCTAGGCGTTGACAATGACAATAGATCGAAAAATACTTTTCTGTATCATGTATATCATTTAATACTATTCTTTATCTTATAGTGCCTCTCTGTTAATGTAGGTTGACCGTCAATTCGGTGAACTTCTTACTGTCCTTCGCGAATCGCGAGGCGAAACATTTCAGCGGCGCTGTGTATGCCGGTCCACTCGCGATTAAATCGCTACCACAACTTTTTTCTTTGATTTTATATGCGTATGAAAATCGATCGTTAGTAAAACCTTTTGTGGTTGCCTTTTGTCTCCGTGAAAGTTGAATAGAGTATTGATCCATTCCCATTATGAGGTTCTTCATTTTCTTTTGCTTCATTAAAATCGTATTTTGTGCAAACCAAGTGAAACATCACATTTTATTCTATTGTTTTTATAATTTTCCCACAACTGGAGAGGATGACTTTGAGGAGCTCGACGGCGCGGCTATCGTTAAAGTTAATCAACTGTCGCAGTGGTCGGTCATTGGGTGGGTGACCAAGAATCTTCTATCTCGAGCTCCTCCGTGCTTCGGAAGGCACGTTAAGCCGTTGATCCCGGCTGCATGTGCAGTCGTTAGCACCCGCCAATCCGCACTGGGCCCGCGTGATGGGTCATGGCACAATCTCCCTATTCCATCCATAGGGAAGGCTTGTGCCCTAACAGTGGGGACATTAATAGGCTGATGCTGATGATGATGATGATGAAAACTACAAATCGTGAATGCATCCTGTTCTCTATGTGCTGTAGTAGCGTCTAGACACTAAAGGTATAATAGGCACGATGACGGGGTAAAATAAACGAAATTCTATTTAGTCCGTCAGTTAGATGATCAAAAAATAATGGACACGTATTTTTTCTTTGGGCAATCAACCAAAAAAGAAGGGCCTCGTGACGTCACTTTTAAGTGAAAATTGTATCAAAACGTGACGTCATGCGAGTTTTCAAATCAATATATCTCTGCAATGTTTATATTATGTGAAAAAAGAAAAAATACGTGTCCAATACTTTTTGATAATCTACCTGATAAACGAAGAAAAAAAATTTGTCATCATCCATAGGGATGATGATAAAAGTATCTATTTAGATAAAACTCAAAGATGACTGACTGACATAGTTATCTATCAACGCACAGCCCAAACCACTGGACGGATCGGGCTGAAATTTGGCATGCAGGTAGATGTTATGACGAAGGCATCCGCTAAGAAAGGATTTTGATCAATTCTACCCCCAAGGGGATAAAATAGGGAATTTGTCAATTGTTGTTTGTATGAAACTTTGTCAATTTTAAACCGATCGGGCTGAGACTTTGCATCATAAGAAGAATCATAGATGAATGTCATTGTGTATAATACAAGCCTGAGAACAAAAACTGTAGTCTACACTTCAGCTCTACACCGAAGTGAAGCGAGGGCGGGCCGCTAGTTAATCAATAAAGTTCAATATTATTGACATTGTTGTAGCTAGTTACCTGGCTCCCTTACCATGACGCTGCGTTCCTGTCACCGTTCCGCGACCGCAACGAACCGCAAACGTTCCGCTCCGACTGTTACTTGGCGCGAGTGACTACTCTACCGGTGCTTATATTGCATGCGAGAGGGGACCTGGTCGTGCCATACGTCCTTGGGAAAAGGGTAAGAATAGATAAATTATAGTAGTAGATAGTGTGGTAGGAAAACGATGCCTTAGATAGGTTTCAGCAGCGCCAAATTATAGGAATGAGGGAATACTTGCGCGGGTAAAGAATTCCACTTACGAATAGTACGACAAAGAAATGAGTCACCAAATTTCTTTGTTCGTGTAGGAATAGTGGCCACAGTGAGTCGGTGGCAACGTAGGCCAGCGCGCGTGGTCCTCTTAAGAAAAGGTGATGGAGGGATAAGGAAGAATAACTCCTGAGAACACTCGCCGTGGTATAGTCGGAAGAATGCGCTAAATGATGCCACATCGCGACGTAATTGTAGAGACTCGAGTTTCTTAGTTACCTCTTCATCGTCAATGATGCGGGCAGCGCGCCGCTGCAACCTATCCAAGGCATCGAGTAAGTACTTAGCGGAGCCATCCCGGAGGTGCGAGCAATATTCCACGCAGGACCGCACTTGCGTTTTGTACAACAAGCGCAGTTGATCGGGCGTTAAAAAACGCCGCACCTTGTTCAGGGGTCCGAGTTAAATAATAAATAAATAAATATTTCCAACACTTACACCAATTAGCCTAGCCCCAAAGTAAGCACTATAAGGCTTGTGTTTAGGGATACTAGGGTAACGGATAGAATACACATATATATATATATATACACTACATATATAAGTAAATTTATATAGAATTACATATTAAACATCCATGACTGGAGTACAAATGCTCGTACTCATCACACAAACATCTGCCCCCACCGGGATTTGAACCCGGGACCTCTCGAGTCGGCGACACCATGAAACCCGGCGTACAAACCACTCGGCCACGGAGGTCGTCGAGTTTGCGTGAAGCTGTTTTGATTACGGTTTCGATGTAGTCTTTTGGATTTAGGTCTGAGCAAACTGCCTTGTTTTCACGCGCGTATCAACAAACTTTGAAAGCCACACCTCAGAAAATCACACAACGGTGGCGCCATCTGGGGATACAAAAAACGGAAGCCCTCATTAACCTAGCCCCCGAAGTAAGTAAGCACTTTAATGGTACACTTACCTTTGGTCGCTAGCCCGTTTTCGGGTGCACGAAAGACATTACTCGAATTCGGGCAAATCGTATATGGCACGGGGTACCAGATTTTAAAATACGCCCCTTGGAACATCACCATAAAACAAGTTATAAATATTATTCTTATTTAAGCACATTTTAATTTTTTTCCCCTCAGTTATATAATTCAATAATGGAATCGCGTAAATACGGCGGTGCAACAGTCAAACTACACGTTTACGAAAAAAAGGAGAAACTGGGACACATGTGGATATGCAAAGCCAGAGACTTGCACGAAGTCGTTGGGTGAGATATATATTTATTTATTCCATTTATTGAACATGATAATAGATTTAAATATAATACATACATAATTACATATCCTATTTCACGGGGTGTAACATAACATAATTAAAATTTGCATTTTTTTTCTAACACTCACGTCTTAAGCGTAGCTCCAAAGTAAACACTGTAAGGCTTGTGTTATTAAATAATAGGGTATTGGATAGAATACATATACTAATTTGTACATTTATCTAAACAATACATATAAACATCCATGACCTAAGTAACACTCACATCAATATATAATTTTATATTTCACATATAGTGTGTTAGATTATATTTTTTTTATTTATTTATTTTTTTATTATAGTGTGTTAGATTATAAGGTAGTTAGGTATTTATCAATTTTTTTTATGTTAAAAGAGTGGCAAACAATAGTATAGCCCACCTAATGGTAAGCGGCCATCATAGCCTATAGACTTGCGATCAACAATATTAAATACCTTAGATACAACAACATGAACAAAATCGTGGCCGAAACCTGTCCAAAAGGTAGAATAGAATAGAATAGAATAGAAATAAATTTACTAGCCTTAAACACAGATTTACATAAATAAAACAAGACAAAATAGGCCAACTAGGTCCCTGCCTCAGCTTGATACTACAGCAACACCAGGGCTGCTGCAGCGCTGATAATTCTGGCAGGGCCTATGGTTGATGACACAGATAAACAAATAAAAGAACAATAATACACTAAAAGAAACAAGCATACTAATAAATACACATCAAAGAGAAAAAAAAAATGGAATGACTGTATAATTTAATAATCTTTGCCTTAAAACAATGCAAAGATTTAGTAATAAAAAATCTGTGGGAGAACAGAGTACAAACTGAACCTCCAAAAAAATATATAAAAACACTAACCTTAAACTATAAACACAATAAATAAGTATGTATGTTGCAAAAATAATAAGAGTAATTTCGCTGCCGATTTATGCCTGTGTGTAACTAAGAATTGACAGCAAGAGAGGACAAACAAAATAAGGCAGTATGCAAAAACAGAAAACAAATAATCGGCAAGTACACAGGAATTCAGCTACAATTACAATTTTGCATCTTACATGACTATACCAACATGGTGAAAGCAAGATGGATGGCGAAATTTTTTATAAAGGTACATTAGACGCTATACGGAGCTCCGTAAGATGATCGCGTAGCCAAAAACAATATAAGGCATTATTTAAACATTGAAAGTCACCTGCAATCATAGAGCTAGACAGCCGCCGCGGCCAGGAGGGGAGTAGCCATAATGACATAATACTACTGAAATCATTGTGCCGCTTTTTGCGGGGGGAGGAATATACAAACAAATGCAGTTCAACATAATTTCGCAAGAACGAAATTGTAATTACGACACTTGAACATAAAAAAATACAGCGCTAAATCGGGCATAGATGAAAATTAAGATTTTTTATTGACAGATCTGAAATTTATACTGGCGAGTTGATTTTTTTGTCAAACAATTACGACGATTGAATTTTAACAAAATAATATGATTTTTGTGTTTCAAAGTGGTTAAAAAGAAATAATATGTTAATAATTCTACTTATATGTGAAATTTAACACCATCCTTTAGTTTAATATTCCAGATATGTTTTAAAGCAAATTACATAACATTTGGGCATTTTTGATCTCTTAAGATACACTCGCGCGACTTAACTCTTAACTTAACTCAGTCTAGTGAAATATCCGACGACTAGTTTTGTTTTTGAGCTGGCCCAACAGCGAGGGGAAATCGACAGAGACTATGCCTTCAGTGCATACTGTATTAGGTCTTAATTAAAACGCATGCGTTAAAGTGTTATGACAGTTAGAAATGCAAGCTCGTAAATTTTTACGACTTATTGCTATATGCGGAAGTATATAGACCTTATTTCTTTGACTCTATGCGCAATTCTGAATGTGCTGTTAGCAATATAGCAGGTACGGACCGCAAGGAAATGAGACGGCTATATTACCGACCATGCATTTGAATATCACAAATATTTTCTATTTAATCAGTTTATAGTAAGTATTAGAAAATTTGCTTCAAATGCGTTAAATTAACAAACATTGATTAGATACCTGTCGAAAACACTACACTTTACGGTCTATAAGTATTATTTTCGCATTTTTTCACGGAGCTATGTGGCATCCTGAGTTTTCACCAGTCCGCGCTTGACTATGGACCAAGAAGTGCTTGAGTGGTGTTCAAGCACTTCTTGATTGGGACACATTTTGGGCGTACGTGGTGTATCTAGGATATTTAATATCGTTACTTGCGATACAAAAATATCACTCACGCAGTTGTCTACCCTGACCCAATCCCCTACCCCGTGGAGCCCTGGAACCATACTCACCGACAAAAACACAACAACACCAAAAGCTAGTGTTAGTTTACTGTAGTCTGAGTTTATTTCCCCAGACGGGAGCTCCAATTCCAGCGGGAAATCCGCTATGACCTAGCTCTCTTGAAATGTCTATTGTTGCCTAAATATAAAAAAACTACTAAAAACAAGCACACTAATAAACCTTTTTTATCATTTCACAGGGAGTTTGTGCAGAAACATCGATGAGTTCTCGATTTTCGATGAAAATAGCTCAATATGTTTGTCACAAAGGAATTGATGCTCATTAATTGATAAAAAAGAAACTAATTAGGACATATTTAGGAAAACTAATTTATTTATTTATTATTATTAACTTTAATTTATGAAACATTGTTTTTGTTCTGAAGTCATTTTGGAATTCATCACATTGTACTTTAAAGCAATTGTAAAATTGACGAATATGCAAAATTATTTTTTGAAATCATGCCATACTTGTGATATTGTGGATCAATATTATATATATATATATATACATATATATAAATATATTTATTGTAAATCCTTCATGCGCGAATTCAATGAAGGTAGTTTCGCGTCGTTTTTCAAATATTCTCAAAATAATTCTGAATGAATATTGTGATGGAAACTTGGTGTACCAAGTACAATTTAAACCTATAGTCCCTCCTGAGGTTAAGTTTTTTTCAGTGCAGCTTTCATAGCTATTTCTTTGTTATAGTACAGCTGACGAAAGAATGCGACCCTGAAAGGTCTTTTCAGTTCCTTTTGGCGACAGCTGCAGTAATTTAAAATGTCTGAGTTTTGGCATGGCAGTATAGAAAGAGTGAAGTGTTGTAGCATATCCGCAATTCAAATTATAAAAACAATAGTTTGAAATGTGATATTTTACTTGGTCTTGCATAACGATTTAAATGATGAAAGTATCAAGAACACTCCAAACATTATTATTTTTTACACTACATTTCTTTGGAAATGATGAACATACGATGTTGCCACGGCGTAAAATAGACTGCGGCATGTTGCATATGCCGCAAAATGTTTCTATTTGGAGCAAAAGCCACTGTTGAATGTTGTTGCCTCGACGTAAAGCAACCTTACAAGAATAGTATTTTTTCATTGGATCGTCGGCACTTTAAGGTACCATGTCTTTTTAAATGCAATTCAGTCCCCGTAGCATGACCATCACAATATTTACATTATATCACGTTTTTCATCGTGTCTAACTGTCAAACTCTAAAGAAATTGTCAAAATTGGACGTGATATAAACGCATTTTATGTCATAAAGCGGTGCTCATGCTAGAGGCTAGATTCTGGTCTTATTAGCATTGGTGTCGATTATGGCATGATTATCTAAACCTTAAATTAGAATTAATTGATTGAATTCTGTATAAAGAGTAAAAAGTAAAGACTGATGTTAAATTTAGTTTTAAGTTTAGAGAAACATGCCAGTGTCGATACCATTATTTACTTATTTATTAATCTTATTATTACAGGGAGCGTGACTAAGGTCCACTTGCAGCAAATTTGCTAAATCTCAACTTAACTAAAACTAGATTTATCGCATACAATAATATCAAATTGACATTGATGTTAAAACAATTTTTTATGACATATGTCTAGTTATAATTCAATCGAGATTTAGCAAATTTGCTGCCAGTGGGCCTAAGATCTACACGATAATAGGTACGCCTCTAGCACCAAAATAGCATTTATTACTATGTAATAAAATATACTGTCACTTAAGTTTATTGACTCTTAGGCTGTGTTCTACTGTACTTTGGGCTGTATTTGTATCACATTCCAGTGTTGTGGATATTGATAAACTGATGATACATATATATATATATATATACTTCCGGCCACCTCTATCTGCCCACTTAGTGTTGCCGCACACAAGCCTCACGCCAAAACCACAAACGCCGCCACGAGAAGCTAGAAGCGGCTACTAAAGTGGCTGAAGCGCGCGACAGCGGCCGACTAAGGTAAGGGAGAGAGGGGTGGGGAATCGCGCGAGTGACGTGTGGCGGCGTTTTGTATCGGCGCATTAAGTGGCCGGTGCGGGCCACAAGAAGCGAGCATCGACGATTTGTAGCGTGTGGCGGCCACCGGCATGCCGTGTGTGGCAAGTCCATATAAAATCTATGAAACTACAATAAATATGCCGGTGGCGGCGTTTTATGGTTGTGGTCGGTGGCCCGTGTGCGACGACACTGAGTGTTATAAGTTACAGAGGTCTGAAGCAAAAATATATGTTTATGGTTGAGCAATAATTTGAAAAACACACAAAAGATGGAATGATTAATGAATCAGCTTCGAAACTGCGTAGGTAATAATTTTTTCTTAATGTATCGTTTATTTTTAGCTAGGGACCATCAAATCTTGAAATGCTATATGGGCCGATATATGTGCCCGGAAGTGTAATTAAATGGGTTGGCACATAATATGTTTATTTATTTATGGAGTACATACAATGCTTAGTAGTAATTATTACCTACCTATCGAGATTTCGATCAAAAATAAAAAAAGAAGCAAATTTGACTTGCTTGATAGTGCGACGGTAATTTAAGCGTTTTCAGATTTTTTTATTTAAGCTACTTGAAATTTTGACCTTCAAGCTTCAGATTATAAACTTAAAAAAAAAGGCAGATTGTCTCTTGAGCCGATAAAATATATATTGGAATTTACTAAAGTTTCTTCTACCGAAACTCGTGAGATGTAATATTTACTGCTGAAAAGTTATATAATTATGATTTTTTAATTTGGATTTTTATAAATATAAATGTTAACGAAAATAATAAATGTTCCTTATTTATACTAATCAACTTAATGTGCGAAGGTAGGTGGGTATAGGTAGTGGGTAAACTTCTTGAGTAAAATCACAGACAAAAAAACTTGCGCAGTATGTAAAAATACTACTGCGTAGGTTTCCTTGTCTATGGTCGTTGCTCAAGAATAGGGTGTATACCAGACAATTAGTTGTTTATGGAATGAATTCTGACATCGATTTTTATTATTAAATAATAAAATATTAAAGAACTGTTGTGATACGTAAGACTTTTGCTACGTAGGTACGCTAGATTTTGTTAATTTTTATGCTTTAAGCTGAATAAATTATATTTTATTTAAAACATAGTGATTGTTTCATTTTAAATACCTAGTACCTACAGCTTTTTACTTTGAAGAAACGTCGAATTAATTTGATTCTTCATCAAGCTATGAAAGAGACTTCTATTGGTACTTATCGATTTCTCCAATGCTTTTAATTCCGTCAGTCACGAAATTCTCCTTTCTATACTGTCTCATCTAATGGGCTATGACGAAGTGTTGACTTGGTTCTCCTGTTATCTTCGGGGCCGCCAGTGAATGGTCCAGTCTGGCGATTCTTTCTCATCCTGGCGCAGTCTGGAAACTGGTGTTCCCCAAGGCGTTATTCTTTCTCCTCTTCTTTTTTCAACTTTTATTGAATTATCATTCACAAACTTGAGTGTTCATATCATCTATATACTGACGATCTACAATTATATACCGAGACAAGTATTGACAATTTGAACGAAGCCATTGATGCTCTGAACAGGGACTTAGTCGCTATTAAAATATGGTCGGACAATTTTGGTGTTATTGTCATTGCTTCAAAACGCCAAGCCATTTTATTAGGAGGGTCAAGAGCTATGAGCAAAATCGCTGTTGGTTCCATCATCTATGACAGCACTCCAATTCCCTTCAGCAACGTCGTAAAACACCAAGGGTTGTGTCGACTCCAGTTTTAAATGGCAGGACCAAGTTAGTAGCGTCTGCATAAAAGTAACTAGAACACTACGTGCCCTTTATCATCTGAAAAATTTTTTGCCGGTCAATATCAAGGCAATGCTTGTGCAAACCTTAATATTTCCTATAATCGTCTATGGTGATGTGTGCTACCTCGACCTGAATGCAGATCTACTTAACAAACTTGATCTATTTCAGAATAACTCCATTCGATTAGTTTTAAATCTTAGAAAATATGATCACGTGTCTGCATCTGTCTTAAATGGATCCTCATAAGGCCGTGCAGATGTATGCGGGCTCTGACCACTTTGTTCACTTTGCTATACTATACTTTAGTGGAATGTACTGGAGTACATACTACGAGTACATACTCGAGTACGTACTAGCTGGAGCTAGACATAAGAATGTCCCCCAATAAACATTCCTTTAAAACCAAGCTACGAAGTATTTTACTGGAACCATCAGCCTATTAATGTCCCTACTGGTGGGGCACAGGCCTTCCCTATGGATGGAATAGGAAGATTGGACCGTGACACACTATGCGGGCAAAGTGCCGATTGGTGTGTGCTAACGACTGCAAACGCAGCCGAAGCCAACGACTTAACCTGCCTTCCGAAGCACGGAGGAGCTCGTCACCCATTTAATGACCGACCACTGCGAAAGTTGCTTAACTTCAACGATCACAGACGAACGCACTAACCACTTAGGTACGCCATGGAACTCCTGATGGAATCCCTAATGGTAAGCAACATCTGTGAAAATTTCACAAGATCGCCAATTCTGAGTTTTGAAATGCGTCAGTGTCACAATACGACCGCTGACCTTGACTTCTAAACTTGTAGAACTCAGAAGAAAAACAAAATATATAGTACAGAAGGTAATCTGAACACAAAACACAACGAGGAACGCACACAGACACCACGACCACTGCGAGCGCGAGTTCCATCCGCTCTTGTAGTGACACTTCTGTGAACTTTTTTGTGTAAAATGGAGCAATAACAAAGTTATTAGGAATTTTCGTTTCTTTTTATTAATATAACAATAAAATTAAAATATTTTAGTTATTATTGTTTCATTCTACAATAATACATACAATACAATAAATCAAAGAACTAAATACGGAGTGCTACCACGATATTTTTTTGTGCCTAAGCCAAAGTTGACATTCCCAGCGCGAGCACCGAGCGTAGGCATGCAAAGTGCAAAGTACATGCACGAGATTGCCTTCTGTTCTCTCTATTTTGTGGTTGACAATTACAGTACATTTTGTTTTCCTATGAAAGTCAGTACGTACGAGCGTTTAGAGTGATCACTGTTGAGACATAGTTAAAGTGAAAAATAAAATAGGAAGTTTTTACATACTTAAGTGGTAATTTTTTTGTTGTTTCTTTTACAAAATGCTCAAAGGTCTCATAAAAGTAGTAGTTTTCTTTTCATTAATGTGAGTTTTTGACTTTTTTTGCAATCTTATTAGTTATAGTTTACTTTTATAGTTTTGAAATAAGTAGACAGTTAAAGACACACTGTGTGGTCTGGTGATTTCTTCCAAGAATTTTTTATTTCCATTAGGTACCTATTAACTACGTTAATTTCTAGAAAAATACCCTTTTTTATTTTCAACTCCACGCGCACAAAATCGGGTTTTTATAAGTAACATAAAACCGTTTATAACGTTCGTTGAATACATTTAAAAATGCAAGTGTTTCAATGTGGCCTTGACTCTTTAACTGTACAAAGTCATCACTTAATGGTTAGTAAATAAGTACCTACCTAACAGTTTTATCATCAAAACTGTAGTATCTTTGAGTTTACTTCAGTTAAGTGTGAGTAAAATCCAGTACCCCCAAGTACGTACTTTGAGAGCTCCGTATTCGTATCGCCATCGTCAAAGTTTCTGTGGAAATTAAACAGCTCCCCAACCGGACGTAAGACCAAACTAGCTTTTTCCATAGAAAATTGAGTTGGTGATAAGGCTTCATCGCTAATTGTTTGTGCTTGGAGTACTTTTCAAAATTCAATATCGTTTATTCAGTCTGGGCTGTTACAAGCACTTGTGAATGTCGATATGCTACGCCATCGGTTCGCAAATTTACGGCGAGAGACCTTGCACTGAGAAGAACCGGCAAGAAACTCAGCAAGGGCTGTTATTTTCTCCCTATAATATAATAATATACAGAGTCGTCAAGTTGAAAAATGACTTCAATTTATGAGATAACTCATGAAGTCACTCTACTGACATGAACATAGCTGATGCTGCAGAAAAATTTGTCTATATCGCGCAACTTGATGGCCTGGAGGCCTACTCTATTTTAACGAAAAACGAAATTTTGATCGAAATTTCGCACGTTCCTTACTCTGTTTCCTTTTCATTTCGAAAATTCGTTCGTCCGAAATAGTTTGACACTTAAATTCTCCAAGCCTTCTCTAATTCACAAAAGTTTCGAAGGAAAAGTTGAATTTGACATTTAATTGTTCGAAATTTTAACCTCAAATTGACGAAATGAAAAGTGTTACCTTTTCATTTTCGTTTTGAGATTTTTGTTTTAATTAAGCCTAAAATACTTGCAAGAGTATTTTTAATAATAGCTGCTTAGCTGGAGAAACATTTTTAGCGTGTAAAATAAACAAATAAACCATTTTTTTAATTATTAATTGTAATTTCGATATTTCAAAGTATTAAACGACAATTTAGGTTGACATAAAGTAGATTGTATCAACTCTACAAATTAGTCGGCTAACACTGTCAAAGAAAGTTCTTTCAATGTCATTAAAAAAAAATGCCGTAATCTACCTTTATTGTTTCCAAGTAAAAAAACGTTTTCATAAGAGTAGAGATAAAAAGAACTCACAAACATGACTCATTCCATTCGTTCACGAAAACTGTTTATGGTTCCGAAGTTAAGGTGCCTGTTCGAAAATGAAATAGAGTAGAGTCAATGGCGAAATTTCGTTCGTAGAGTCATGAAACTGTACCCTATTTATGTTAAAAGTTTAAAAGTTTGACAAATAAGCATTACGACCGGCCTGATGGTGAGCAGACACTATACCCTAAGACGCTTGCGATGCTAAAACTAGCACTCGCGCCCTTGCCTACCCTTACTCCAGCCGCTACCCCGTTGAACCATTTTTCGTCAGGAAAATGCATGACGCATACCCCGCCACCTGGGAGTAGCAACGGAGTTATGTGAGACTCCTCCCGACCCGTCCTGCCCGTCCGCTCAGCCAGTCCTGGGACTAGCTCAGCGACCACCCAGGAGGGGGGGGGGGGGGGGCACCCACTAAACATGACGATGCCCCTCACTCGGTCCACGGTCCCAACCAGCGTGGTTGAGACAACGGCACTGGATGGGCCACGGGAACCCTTACGGAATCTTCCGCGACCTCACCAGTGAGCGTCCGAGTCGAACGGACACACCCCTCTCCCCCGGAAGAGGGGAGTGTTGGGGATGCCCCGGAGCATCATGGGCATCCCCAGCCATCAGCAAAGACCTGTGCAAGGCAGGATCTGAATCTCCCAAGTCCAAACCACCCGCACGCACCCCGTGGAACCCTGGAACCTTACTCGCAAACAGAAATCCCCTACCCCGTGGAACCCTGGAACCTTACTCGCAGACAGAAACAGAAATGCAACACTACAAAAAGGTAGTGTTATTTTACTCTTACAGTCTTATGTAAAGTTTACTTTTCTCAACGGGCGCTCCGATTCGAGCGGGAAATCCGTTGTGCTCTACCTCAGAGATATTCCAGATACACAACACTGCCAGATTTTTTAATAAAACCTAGGCATAGTTATGCCTACCCGTTCGAGGAGCTCGATGGCGCAAGTGGTTAGCACGTTCGGCTGCGATCGTTGAACTTAAGCAACTTTCGCAGTGGTCGGTCATTGGATGGGTGTGGTGAGGCACGTTAAGCAGTTGGTCCCGGCTGCATCTGCAGTCGTTAGCACCTACCAACCCGCACTGGGCCCGCGTGGTGGGTCATGGCCCAATCTCCCTATTCCATCCATAGGGAAGGCCTGTGCCCCAGCAGTGGGGACATTAATAGGCTGATGATGATGAAGATGATGATAGTTATGCCTCAATTACATTTGGTCGATAGTTCTTATTCGGGTGCACGAAAGACATTACTCGAATTCGGGAACCCAAAGCAATATTTACACTGGAAGACGGTGTCGGGTAAACGAAAGGAAATCTACCCGAATACTTGGGCGTACTTGACTCGACTCGACACTTAGTCGTTTACCCGACTTCCAATGGCACTCGTTTGATTAGTGCCTTTTTTTTTATTGTGTATGCTGTTGATCGCAGATGACCTTTACAGCGTCACCGTGTTGGGCACGGTGAGATCCTAAGGGGACCTCAAGCCGAGAATTGGCGAGAGCCTCTAGAGCAGTGTTTCCTTACCTTTCCAATACCCTGTAACCTATTAGGAAAACAGATTTTCCCCCGACTTTAAAACGTTATCATTAGTCCAAGAAATTCCAATTTGGCCGCTACATCTTCGTCTCTTATAATGTCATCATCAGGAGATAATCTCGCCCTGCTTCCCACACTCAGCACCCGGCGGGCTCGCTAGCAAGAAGGAGCGCATGCTCTATGAGTAGTATTATTATATAGTATTTTCTTATTTAGATTTGATCAAATAATTAGGTTCTTTGTTACCCCTTAAGTATGGCTGATTTACCCCCGCGAGGGGTAATTACCCCCAGGTTCGGAACCCAGGCTCTAGAGGTATTCCAGGCGGATGGCATCTCCCCACGGGGGGGTCTCCTCTCCGTCTGGAGCCTCTAGACCACTCGAACCTGAGGGATTGATTAGTGGCACCACTCGTATTCAGGATAACGAACAAGTGTACGCTGTGACGCTTACAAATTTGAATCGCTATAAACTCGGGAACGGTGGCTCTTAGAAAAACCTTACAATTTTTGTAGAAAATTTTATGATGTACATTTTTTGTTAAAGGAAATCTTACGATTAAACCAACCAGTTTGATGAAAATAGCGACAAGTCCATTTTTTGATCTTTGACCTCGAGTATTTTTCCATGTACCGGAACGATGGGAAATTTTGATATGTTATTTTTAATTATGTTTTAAACAATTGTTCTCACTTTCAGCTGGATTTGAATTTATGTACCTTTGAACGTATAAATTGACCGGGCTATATTGTATATTATTTTTATGAAATGTATAATTAATTCAAACTTTTTCTTGTTTAATCATTAATAAATCAAATTGGCATTAATTAACAATAGAATATAAGTATTAAAAATCTGTCAAAATGTCATTTTGCTTTAAATTTTAATGAGTATGTATATTTAGCTATAGGGGGCGTTGTGTTTTTCAGATACTTCTTCTTTGGCACTAAAACAACTCAGATAGGAATTATTGTGTACCTATGTTTACCATTCATAATACTTAACGGTACTGCGAGACGATGCTTGCTATTTATGCACAAAGGTAAGTTTTTATACTCGTCTAACGGACTCGATATAAATAAATAAATAAATATTTCCAACACTCACACCAATTAGCCTAGCCCCAAAGTATGTATGCTATGGGATACTAGGGTAACGGATGGAATACATATTCAGTACAATTATAAGTATATTTATATATAAATACATATTAAACATCCATGACTGGAGTACAAATGCTCGTATTCAGCACACAAACATTTGCCCCCACCGGGATTCGAACCCGGGACCTCTCGAGTAGGCGACACCTTGTAACCCGGCGTACAAACTACTCAGTCACGGAGGTCGTCGATATACATTGTGCTGATAGATAGTAAAATTCTAGAACACGACTACAGCGCTACTAACTATAGCATTCACTCACTTCAACGCATAGGTGGGTACAAAAAGTTTCATCGAAATCGGTCCAGCCGTAGTAGACTAACCCCTTATTAATGAACGAGGATTAAATTTTGATTAGTTGCGCAGTTTTTTGTTTATATCACTGAAATACAATTTGTAATTCATGAACAGAGACAAAACATAGAGTAACTAACTAATCCAAGCTTATTCCTCATTTATTAAAAAGTTGGTTAGTGAGAATCAGGAACAGCAATTGATCTTTATTGATATTTATTTATTTATTTTTTTGGAAGAAAAGTGGTACAAAAGGTTTTACATTATTTGTTGAGACACGCACAATTCACCAGAAACCGGCATACAATTTTTATAAATATCTTAAAATAAATGTGCACTATCTATAAGCCATCCAATCAAGGGGTAGAAAAATAGCAGATTACTGTTGTCTTTTACATAAACCCATAAACTCCTCAACAGAATAAAAACTGTTCCCAATCAACCAAGTTTTAAGTTTCCTCTTGAACGTATTTCTTGTTAAAAATATAAATCCTAGATGATGCAGGTGTCATTGAACACACTTTAAAGTTTATGTGGGATTCTCATCATCATCATCATCAGCCTATTAATGTCCCCACTGCTGGGGCACAGGCCTTCCCTATGGATGGAATAGGGATGTTGTTGATGATGTTGGATTCTAAAACAAACTAACTAGGTACATGCAACGTAAATTACTACGGTCTGTGTTTTCACAGTTTTTTTTTTCTCTATTAAAACCGTATGCATTTTAAAATCCTTTCCTAGGCAAACACGCAAACCATGAGTGTCTCTTGAAGGTTACAGAGACAGGCGTTTAACGTGCGAGTACCTATCTACTTTTCTCAATTGAATCATTACAATACCATGCGCATGCGTGCTGTAGAGTCGTTAGATCTTAATTCACCTCATAAAAGACTAACTGTAATCTCTATAAAGAAAATTTTACAAAAAAACGACGGGTTACACTCCGGGAGTGCCGGCAGAAGTGAAAATTTGAATATTATCGTTGTGCATTTTTGATATTTTGGAATGGTTTGGGAATAATTTTGCACGAATTGCTTTAATTAGCATTATAAAAGTACTATCATGTATGTGGTAGAATACAATATTTATTTATTGTGCTATAGTACACAAACATGTCAATTTATATTACATTAAAAAAGTTTATCTCTCAGAAAAATCAACTTACATGAATTACGTTTAAGCGTACCTAGCGACATCTATTGTAAAAAAAATGCATTTTCTTCGCAATAAAGCTGCCACGTGGACGTCCTAGATAGAGACTTATTATTATAACACGGTGAAATAAAATATTACTATATTTCGTCCAATATATTGAAAGTCAACAAACTTTCCAATTTAATTGTGAGTCATGATGCTTTTTTTTTTGAGTGTGTATGCTGTTGGTCGCAGATGACCTTTACAGCGTCACCGGGTATGGGGACCTCAAGCCGAGAATTGGCGAGTGCCTCTGGAGGTATTCCAGTCGGATGGTATCTCCCCGGGGGGAGTCTCCACTCCGTCTGGAGCCTCCAGACCACTCGAACCTGAGGGGGTCGGCTCAACTAGAGGGCGTCTCTGAGACTCGGACCTCGGCTCTAGTTAGCCGTTGTCGTGGGGGGAAGTCATGATGCGATCAGCCCACGTGTTTAATCTGACGCGAAAAATAACACGTCTGGTGTATGGGAGCCCAAAGGAGATTTTATATTAATAGTGCCTAATGTTGTAAAGATAATGATACGAAACTCTTCGTGGGCAAGTCCGACTCGCACTTGGCCGGTTTATCTCTCCTTATTTGTTTGTGTTGCCCAATACAGGTTTCATTTTATTAAAATTATCCTTGTTTTTAGTCCGAACACCATTTTTGAACCTGAAGAATGTCGGCAGTTTTGGAATCGTGGGCGGCAGGAGTTTCACCATAAAAAATCATTCAACCATAGACGAACAAGAAGTGGAGCTACGTAAGACTTATTTATGATCAGCGTATTAATGTTCCCCACTGCTGGGGCACAGGTCTTCCCTATTAGATGGAATAGGGAGAATGAGCCATGACCCACCTCGCGGGCTCAGTGTAAGTGAATAGGTGTTTACGACTGCAGAAGCAGCAGGAGAGCTTGAGATTTCGAATTATGGTCACCCATCCTATAATAATTATAATAATCATTTCTTTCAGACCGTTTAGTCCATAGAGTGTTAGTTACATTAAAACTTAGAAACTATGTTAGTACAATTCTATTTAAACTATTTTCTATATTTAATATATGTGGAGACATGGGATTGTACCCAATGTCTCCACAACGGACTCTCCAATTTGCCTGCTATGACGGCCAAAATGCTGTTAGAGCTACCCGTGACTGCGCATCAGTGACGCTACTCTTTTGCGTTTAATAGCGTAGTAATCGTCAACATGGGCGTCAGCAAACATCGTTAATGCACTACAATATCGCGGCAGCCCCAACAGCATCCTGAACGCGTTATTGTATGACGACGATATTGTTATGACGACCTCCGTGGCCGAGTGGTTTGTACGCCGGGTTTCATGGTGTCGCCGACTCGTGAAGTCCCGGGTTCGAATCCCGGTGGGGGCAGATGTTTGTGTGATGAATTCGAGCATTTGTACTCCAGTCATGGATGTTTAATATGTGTTTTCTATATAAATATACTTATATATGTACAGTATATGTATTCTATCCGTTACCCTAGTATCCCGTAACACAAGCCTTATAGTGCTTACTTTGGGGCTAGGCTAATTGGTGTGAGTGCTGGAAATATTTATTATTATTATTATTGTATTGGACACTTATGACCGGTTAGTAGTAGTAGTAGTTTAGTACCTAGGTATATTAATTCTGCTACTTGTAAAGTAACTTAAATTCCACCTTAACTTCCACTTAACTTAATTTTCCGGAAACAAAAGTAACGGAATTTGTATTATGGATATGTAGTAAAATTCGATATTATATTAATAATAATAATATTTCCAACATTCACACCAATTAGCCTAGCCCCAAAGTAAGTACTGTAGGCTTGTGTTAAGGGATACTAGGGTAACGGATAGAATACATATACTATTACATATAAGTACATTTATATAGAAGTACATATTAAACATCCATGACTGGAGTATAAATGCTCGTATTCATCACACAAACATCACAAAAATATATTTATTTTCCATCACAACAGAGATTCATAGTTAGTCTTGTATAGCAATTACAGTGTTGCGGCTCCTCTATTTGTGATGAACTGGTGCCTGAAATAGGTTTCAGCAATAGAAACCTGGGCTACAGGTCACCAGGCCCAAACGGATGGTACAATACCTTGGACAGTTGAAATGTATACATTGTTGTTTCAACAGCATTGAATAGAAGAAAACCAATAAATAATAACAATAATCAAAGAAAAGCTATTCTAACTAATAGGAAGCTAGAAAATTATCCAGTTTCTAAAAAATAAAAATAATAACCAAAAGCGGCGTGTATGTGTGTGATAGTAAGTCGAGCCCTTACCGCCAAATTATCGTAAGCGACACTCGCCAAATTATCGTAAGCGACACTTTTGTCGAAATGCGTTTTTTGTGGAAACTAATATTTTAAACCGTAACGGACCCATCTCTGTTGATATTTCCCTCTATTCTTCCCTCTATTATATTGTAACGGTGTTCTTTTGGAGGGAAATATCAACAGAGATGGGTTCGTTACGGTTTAAAATATTAGTTTCCACAAAAAACGCATTTCGACAAAGGTGTCGCTTACGATAATTTGGCGAGTGTCGCTTACGATAATTTGTTTGTGCGATTTCGTTCTTTTTGTGTATGTAATATGTTTGCAGTATTGATGTAACGATTATCCGCATTCGCATTCGCGAATATTCGCATATTTTTGAATATTCGCATTCACATTCGCATTCGCAAAATCTCTGCGAATGAATATAAAAAAAAACAATTTGAAGAAGTTGTAGTTCTTCCTTTCCTTGAATATTCATTGTTACACAGCTTGCATTTAGCTCGTTCAGCATCGCAAAGTGTGAAATAAGTCCATATTTCACTAGAATTTGATTTACTCATGTTAATTAATATTCAAACTCTAACCTCAAAATTCACTTGTTTTGTTAACGAAAAGACCGGCGCGAGCGGAATGACACTTCAGTCGGATGAGTTCATATCAACTCGGCAATTCGAACGAGACTGCCACCATGCCATAGACAATTGGCGCCAATTTTGAACAAAAACATATATATTCGCATTCGCGAATGTTAGTACCAATGATTTTTATTTCACACCTAAAATTTATATTTTTCTAGTTTTATTTTCTGTATTTCTTATATATCTTTGTTTATTTTATTAATTGCTGACAGGTGTCTGGCATATATTACCGCATAGTTTAATTGAAAAATTGGACTCACTGGAAGACGACCCCGAAGAAAGAAATAGCTATTTTGAAGATCAGTTGAAATATTCACGGAAGCCTGTAATTGTTTACAGTCATGGTAAGTCTAACCACAATAATTATAGGAAACCTGTTCTGTGTTCTACGAAGAAGAATGAGAACACGAGTTATCTGCATATTGGTCAAGCTGTGACGTGACTTCACCTGCGTTAAGTTTTTTCAGAATCTCACAGGAACCTGTCATTTTCCGGGATAAAAAATATGCTATCTCTCAATCCAGGTCATAAAATATGAGCATACTTAATTTCATCCAAATTCATTCAGTAGTTTTGCGTGATTGATTAATAAAATAAACACACAAACATAAAAACTTTCACATTTATAATATTATTAAAATTCAGATTAACTCTTTAGCTGTCAAGATAAAAATTAATATGAAAATGTCAAAACAAATTAAGAAAAGGAAGACAATGGCAAATACAAATTTCCGATGTAATTTCCACATTTTCAGGTATAACCCAGACAGTTGGAGAGCCTTCTAGAGTAGCGTTGTATAAGCAGTTACAAAAGTTAGATGTCCACGTGATCACATTTGATTACAGAGGTAAAAATATATTAAATAAATTTTGGGCGGGGGATCCTCATCATCATCATCAGCCTATTAATGGTCCCACTGCTGGGGCACAGGGAGATTGGGCCATGAGCCACCACCCGAGCCCAGTGCGGATTGGCGGGTGCTAACGACTGCAGATGCAGCCGGGACAAACGGCTTAACGTGCCTTCTGCAGCACGGAGGAACTCGAAATATTTTTGGTCAACCATCTAATGACCGACCACTGCGAAAATTGCTTAACTTTAACGATCGCAGCCGAACACGCTAACCGGCCGCGCCATCGAGCTCCTCTCTCCTCTGGCCTGTACCCAATTTCTAGTTCTATGCTAAATGTTCTGAAGGTAATGCTCACTTATCTTCTCACTCGTTTTTATCTAAAAAATCTGCTATTTATTAATCTTCCAGGTTACGGCGACTCCACTGACATCATGCCTAAGAGAATGAGCATAGTGGAAGACTTCCTCACCGTCTACTCTTGGGTCAATAAGCGCTGTGGTGACAGCCCCGTGTTTGTGTGGGGACATTCGTTAGGTAAACTTCTAATCGGAGTACAAATTACCTGCAATTTATTATATTTAAACTAGCAAACCAGTGAACCAAATGTTCACCAAAAAAAAAATGTATTTAATTAATTGACTACTTAGGAGATTTTGTGTCGTTTGAAATTCGTGATTTCTCGAAAACCGGAAGTGCTACGTTACTCAAATCCGGTTTGTAGTCTTATCAGACTATTCTTAACTTATAACTTAAACATTCTCTTTATCTATCTCTTACGGTTTGGCCGCTGAAACAGCACCACAGACGGACGGACTTGTCTAATAGATAAGAGATACTTGCGACCAGCGTTTACATTAGGTCTGCAAACGCTTTTTTTTAACTGTGTATGCTGTTCATCGCCAGATGACATTTTAGGGGACGGTGAGATCCTAAAGGGACCTTAAGCCGAGAATTGTCGAGTGCCCTTGAAATTCCAGGCGGATCAGGATTCAGCCGTCCGCCCGAGTCTCCTCTCTGTATGAAACTTTTAGACCACTTGAACGACTAGATGGCGTCTCTGAGACTCGGCTCTGCAAACGCTGGTGAAACGCAATATATAGTAGCATGCCTTCAAACTCGCATACAGTGTAATAAATTCCCAAAAATATTTAGTCCTAAAACTATAGTAAAACCCTTAAGTCACTCTACACTAATTACCTCACAAAATGCGGCAGGTTTGAGGGTTTATGACCACAAAGAAGGTGCCTTATTACGTTTAATTACGTAAGGAAAAAAATATTAATCCCTTTAAAGGTGTGTTCCTAATAAAAACTCTAGCGTACATAATCTCCCTTTTAAAACCTCTTAATTTGTAACGCTGCTAAGGAATGTAGGTGATAAACAAACAAAATACATATAGAACAGCTTTGCTTGCTTCCTTTACAAACACCTTATTTGTGGGTCCATTTCTGGTAAAGTATTTTTTGTGTAAATTGCTGTAAAGTTGCTAGTGTCACAATTATACATGTATTGTATTATGTTCTTGTTACATAAAAGGCATAAAAAATCACCCAAATTCCAGATAGGCCTTGTTTAATAATAAGTTTTTATTCGTAACCAGGTACGGGAGTCACCAACAAAGCCCTTAGTAAATTGGAACAGTTCAGCGTATCTTTACTACGGCAGGACTGCGCGCCACCCCTGCCGCGCGGCGTCATATTAGAGTCAGGCTACAACCAGATCTCCAGTATAGCACAGGAGTTCGGGGCGCTGGATGTGAGTCTATTCATTATCATATTGTAGGTATCGGGGAGTGACCAACGAATCCAACATCGACCAGGAGTTTGGAGCATTCGATTTAAGTAACGAGATTGTTTCATTCTGGAGTCAGGATACAGTCAGATCTTTAGTATAGCTCAGGAGTCGCGGAGTGCTAGATGTGAGTCTAGTCATTATCATATTGTAGGTACCGGAGTTACCAACAAACCCAACATCGACCAGGTCGACCAGGAGTTTAGAGCATTCGATTAAAGTCCTGTCATCATATAGCGAGTAATGGGATTGCTTCATTCTGGAGTCAGGACACAACCAGATCTCCAGTATAGCACTGGAGTTCGAGGCGCTGGATGTAAGTCTAATCATTATCATATTGTAGGTATCGGGGATGACCAACGAATCCAACATCGACTAGGAGTTTGGAGCATTCGATATAAGTAACGAGATTGCTTCATACTGGAGTCAGAATACAACCAGATCTGTGTTATAACTCAGGAGTTTGGGGCGTTGGATGTGAGGCTAGTCATTATCATATTGTAGGTACCGGAGTTACGAACAAATCCAACATCAACCAAGAGTTTGGAGCATTCGATTTAAGTCCTGTCATCATATAGCAAGAACGGGATCGCTTTATCCTGGAGTCAGGATACAACCAGATCTCTAGTATAGCTCAGGAGTTTGGGGCGCTGGATATGAGGCTAGTCATTATCATATTGTAGGTACCGGAGTGACCAATAAATCCAACATCGACCAGGAGTTTGGAGCATTAGATTTAAGTCCTGTCATCATATAGCAAGAACGGGATCGCTTTATCCTGGAGTCAGGATACAACCAGATCTCTAGTATAGCTCAGGAGTTTGGGGCGTTGGATGTGAGGCTAGTCATTATCATATTGTAGGTACCGGAGTTACGAACAAATCCAACATCAACCAAGAGTTTGGAGCATTCGATTTAAGTAACGAGATTGCTTCATACTGGAGTCAGAATACAACCAGATCTCTAGTATAGCTCAGGAGTCGCGGGGTGCTAGATGTGAGGCTAGTCATTATCATATTGTAGGTACCGGAGTTACGAACAAATCCAACATCAACCAAGAGTTTGGAGCATTCGATTTAAGTCCTGACATCATAAAGCAAGTAACGGGCTTGCTTCATTCTGGAGTCGGGATACAACCAGATCTCTAGTATAGCTCAGAAATCATTAGATGTGAGTCATGTCATTATTATGCTACTGAAGATATTAAAGTTACTCAAAGCTCTTGCTAAGATGGATAGTAAATACCAGAATTGCCAAGTACCGAAGAGACCACAAAGCTCCGAGTAGGTAAGTCGGAGCAGTTCAACGTCTTCCTGGAATCAGACTACTACTAGAAAGTAAGAAGAATCGACTTCCATATAAGAAAACACTGACACATTCCACAACAGTAATATAGTAAGTATTGGGATTGCTCCGTACTGGAGTGACCAACAAACAAGGGTTCAGTAACTTGGAACCGTTCAGCTGTCCCTACACCCTAGAATACGAGGTAACGCGGAAAAGTTGTCACAATATTCAATTTAATATGTAGTATATATTGTAGCAAATAACAAATCACTTTTTAACGACAAACTGAAGGTATTGTAATAATAGTTCCTAGTTGCAATTGGTTAAATTACACTATTCAATATCTACTCCCCCCCCCCCCCCCACATTCCTGACATTCCATCTGTTTTTTGTTCTTATTAGCCTTGAAACTTCATACCCAGACTTTATGCCATAGCTCATTAGTTGTGAAATCTTTGGTTTGCAGTGGCTGCTTCTACTCCCACATTCCAAGATGATAGCGAAACATTACTACGACACAGATCCGAACGTGAGACTGAACTCCGAGAAATACGTGACATTGTTGAAAAATGTACCATATTTGATAATGCACGCGAGAAACGATGACATCATACCGATTCGTATAGGAGAAAAGGTGAGTAGAGCAAAGAAGGAAAAGTAACCAGAAGGTTAAGGGCTCTTCAATTCATGCGTTTCTTAAACGCATAAATTGAAAGAGCCCTAAGTTCGATTCAAACTTTATTGCGGATGTGAAGTTAGTAGCGAGCGCGACTATGCGCAGACTTCAGTTCAGTGACGACCCATGAGCTTACGTCATCCTACATTTGGTTTATTGCGCCACACACATACTACCGTCCTTAAGCTAAAATGCGGCTAAGTGGCATGTGGCAGATTTTTCAGTCTTAAATTGCATCTTATACAGTTTTTAATAGTGTATCAATCTGTCTTCAACAAGTATTCTTATCTTTTATAGTTTAAGTCTAAAAATCCGTCATGTGATGAATAGTTACAAAATAGCAATAATTTAAAGTTGACGCGTCGTTTTTTTCCCATATCTCAAAAGTTGTTACTGTCATTTAGCCGCGTTTTAGCTTGAGGACGGTAGCATACTTCTCCCTACATTTGTTTTTGAGCAGAAAATCGTCGAGAGCCAACCCTTGAATTTTGCAATCTTTATACGCAATAGGTAGCTATTGTTGTGCCTATCGGACGGTATTTACATTAATAGGCTGATAATGATGCTAATGAATGTTTCTTACTAATTACTGTTCATTAGTTGTACGAAGCCGTGAAGTTTTCGCGAACAGAAAACGACGCCCACGTTTGGTTTGAGGTGTTCTCCAACGGAAAGCACATGTGGATCTGCAATGAGAAGAATTTCCCGAGGATTGTCAAGTGAGTTGATTAAAGAATTGTAAAATGGGGGCCCAAATGAAAGACAACTCGATTAAGTATTTGAGATGTTTACTGATCGGAAGCCAATAAAAAGTAAAATGTACATCGGCATATCCTGGTAACATCACGTTTATTATATTGTTATTTATCAAAACCGCTCTTGTCGCGTTTCAAAATATATAAATTTTCCACAAGTTTTTCGGACTTTTAAATCCTTAATTTTTTGCTCGAAAATTAATTTTATTAACAAATATTGACGGAGGTACAACTTAAAAGTAATAGAGTTTATTTAAAAATAAAATGAGGCTTATTTGAATTGCATGCATCTATATTATACTATCGTAGTTGCTAACTTTTTCGCTCTGCAATTGTAGAAATTTAGCTATTGAATTACATTATGTATTTTGTTGTGGTGAAACCCATAGCGTACGTAGAACTATAGTGCGATTTAATTAAGAATAGGAAAGCCAATGACATCCATCTGTTAAATGTCGCTTGAAAAGTACGGTTTGCAAAAAAATCTTGGAACCCTTTTTTAGCACTCAGCTAATTCTAGAATAAAAACCAAACATTTGTAACAATAACAAATATTGATAATTAATATTGTTTGATATTTTTTTCATTTATTGAGCTATGGCTATGACTGGTTGATAACCTAAATCGTCAACCAAATGTCACTTTAAGTTGCGTTCATAAACTCGATTTAAAACTTTCGTTTACATAAAGGATGCATGTTCGTATGTGACCTAGTAATAGTGCATGATTATTCATAACTACTTCGGCGGTAATGCAGAGATAAGCGGAATTGAAGAGCTAGATTCTGATTAACGTTTTTTCTCACACTGTCTTAATAAATAAATTTTATTAAAAATCGGTTGTTTTTTTCTCAATCTTAGTAAATAAATTTTATTTAAAAAATCCGATGTATTTACTCACTTAATTTTAGTAAATAAGTTTTATTAAATAAAAACTTTTTGCTCACTCTACCTATTTGGTTTGAATTGACAGCTATGACGTCACAATATGGCGCACAGTCTGTCCTGTTCTTAGTTGAATCGCATTATACTTATATTTTAGTTTACTACGCCGCGACTATAGAGGCGTAAGCAAGAATTTGGACATCTCCATAATGGTATCGTCATCGGTCTTTTGTATATAAGAAGCCAGTTTGGTCTTAAGTCCGGTAGAGGCGCTGTTTGGTTTTCATAGAAACTGCGATGCGATACTATTACGGAGCTGTCAAAATACGTACTGCGGCCTTAGCTTACTTTTCAATTTCAGTAATTGATAGGGTTGCCATCTTTTTTGTCGAAATAAAGTACCTACATTGGATATTAAATGTAGAAAAAAAAGTACATTGTGATTTGTGCCCAAAATAAAGTACTTTTTATTCCACTTTATTAATAAGCTTAAAAATATATTATACGTTGCTAGTGGTGTCGATTCTAGCATGATTCGCTAATGCTAAACTTAAATTTGACAGCAGTATATCCTTGTCATTCTTTTTACAGAATGAAAAGGAGAGACTGATGTTAAATTTAGTTTTAAGTTTAGAGAATCACGTCAGAATTGGCACCACTAGCAACTTTTGATAAATAATTTGCGGCTACTAAAAATCTGTAGTTCTTTTCCGCAATGGAAAAGATATACAAAGGCATACAGCCATATATTCATATTTTCTGTCCGTTTTACGCAAAAATTCTTTATACCAAACTGCTTTTGTATATTTTATGTAAAACTAGCAAACCCAGCGAACTCCGTTTCGCCACCAGATAGCTTCGTTTTATGTAACATTTCGTTTTGTGATTAAAAGAAAACGATTTTTTTTTAAATTTATCCTGAATTTTCTTTGCTATAAACCTCACGGAGCCCGAGACCTTTCCAACGAATGCAAAACCGTGGAAATCGGTTCGTGCGTTCTGGAGTTATAGCGTCAGGAAGGAAAACCCGACTTATTTTTATATAGTAGATTAATCCCCGAGCAATCAAATTACATTAAAAAAAGGATTTTCGCGTACTTTATTGTTGGCATAAAGTATAGAGTACAATTACCCGTAATAACGTACAATACTTTATAACAAAGTACAAACAAAGACAATCCTAGTAATTGAGTTTGTACTTCATTAAGATAGAATCGCACTATACACTAATATATTCTTTTTTTTATTTCAGAGACTTCATTGATCTTTATAAGATACTTTGATACACGTTTCGTGATACCTATCTAGTCTTAAGGTACATGGTTTAGTTCGGACTTGTACCTTAATGCGCGGTCAGCCGCAGGCGCTATCCGCAGTGTCGCCTGCGGTTGTCGCCTGCGGTTGTCGCCTGCAGCCCATTGCGGAATTGTACCTTTATGAATAAATGGGAAATTTATCTTTTGATAACTTTTTTATTTTATGTATAAACCCAACGTCTTAACATTATGTACTTTGTTTAACTGTTTAATTTTCACCTATGTGAAAAAATTAAAGCGACTTCTTCTTCTTCTTCTTTAAAAAAATAAATAGTTAGTTTAGTCACCATGTCTCTACAAATATGAGAAATAATAAATAAATAAATATTTCCAACACTCACACCAATTAGCCTAGCCCCAAAGTAAGCACTATAAGGCTTGTGTTACGGGATACTAGGGTAACGGATAGAATACATAAACTGTACATATATAAGTATATTTTTATAGAAATGCATATTAAACATCCATGACTGGAGTACAAATGCTCGTATTCATCACGCAAACATCTGCCCCCACCGGGATTTGAACCCGGGACCTCTCGAGTCGGCGACACCATGAAACCCGGCGTACAAACCACTCGGCCACGGAGGTCGTCAATAATAATAATTATTTATAGCATTATTTTTTCGATGTAAAATATAGATTTATTGTTATAATATTACATCTGTGATGTAAAATAAGTTACAAAAACGGAACTACTTCCAAGCTACCAAATAGTTCCAAGTACTTCTATTCCCTTCAAATCTAGCATAACAAAACTTTTATGATAAAATATCCTGACATCTAGACAGAAGATAAATGTTTGACACGCCTTTAATGACAATGTCAATTTAAAACGCCTTCATATTTATTTACCACAAAAATGACAAGTCGCTATTTATAATTTAATTAAAAAAAACCTATTATAAAAAAGTAAAATGAGTTTGAAAATTCACGATAAAAAGAATAGATTGATACCATATGCAAACAATGATTGGGTAAGTATAAGATTAATTTATTAATAAGTTGGTATAACAGACATAATTCCCATAAGGGGAAGTGTTTGCAGCTTGACCGCCGGAAAGTTTTAAGATCTGAGTGGAAAACTTCAATAAGTGTCTTAACTGTTTTTCAATTATATTGGGTACAAAAATGTTGGCATGCCAATAAATCAATAAAATAAATAACTAGGTACCAGGTAACATAACAAAGAACTCGTAACTTGTAGACCTATTCGGTAACGGTTTCGAAATATCATGGGATTTGTTATTCATTTGGTAACTGTTCATCGAAATCAAAACAGTCTAGATAACCGAAAACCTGCAAAATGTGTAGCGTTACGGCTATTAAATTTGCTACGAAGAGCTGCTACGCGTGCTATATACGACTACGAGCTCCTAACAATATCAGTCTGCGTATATTATGTGAGCGTACAGGGTCTAGTACCCATTGGACCCTCCTACAGCTTTTTTGCACATGCTGCATTCTGTTAGTGGAAAACAGTGTGCTGCACTGCTACGTAGAGCGTGGAGATCACTGACCGTCCGCAGTCGCAAAATAGCATTGACTTGTGCAAGCACAAGTGGCTACCCCCGCCCCTGTGCATTCCATACCCTCCAACACGAACCTGGGCTTCTCTGATTGACGCGTCAAAAGGCTAGCCATCCCCAAACTGACATGGTGGATAGCCGGCCGTGCCTCCTCTTCCATACCCACCAGGAAAACAAATCCCCAATCTAGCCCGCACTTTCGGTCCCGGCCATGACTACGAGTTCGGTCCCGGCCATGACTAGGAGTTCCCACTTTGGAACTTCTTCTATTAGGATTCTCCTACTTCTTACAACCTGGGATCCTTTAAAAGAGGCGCGAAGAAGCAACATGCAGGCCGGCAAGGTGAGGATGGCTGGTGTGACAGGTAGAACTGGCAGGTAGAACACTTAACATCAGGTGGGGTGGAGTCATTTGTCGGACCTAACTATAAAAAAAAAAAGTTTTTTTTTACAGCGTATGTTAACTTGGTGAGATTCAAGTTTAAAGACCACCATAGCCTAAAGACGTTATTGCGATACTGAAGCTATCACTCGCACTGATACCTACCCTGACTCCATCCCCTAAACCTCAAACCTTATTAACCGATAGAAACACTACGCTACGCCACCAAAAGATAGTGACATTTTATTGTAGTTTCTTGTAAGGTGGTGGAGGACATGGTCCTAAGTGCAGTAGGCACAGCCCCCCCCCCCCCCGCGATAGAAGTTAAACCTACAAAAATGTGAAAACGTAAAAGTCCTTCATGGCTAGGTACGTCTTAAAGACAACACCTGTGAACTGTGAAAAATCAACTCTCTAGGTCAAATTTAAATATTTTATACTCAAAAAAAAAAAAAAAAAACAATTAAAAAAAGTTACAGAGCTGAAGATCGAACCACCGATCAGTTGGTGTCGACTCCAAGACCGTTGCCGTTCGGCTATCCGTTTCTTATGGTAAATGATAAAATTACTGATACTTATCTTGTGTCAAATACTCTACTTCCGTTTCATTGAATCTCAAATCACAAAGATGCTAAAGAAGTATTCACTTCAAACAACTTCTGCCCCCGTTCGCGACGATGATCTCTACCCAAATATAAAGCTGTTTCTGGCAACTCTTCCTCTAGGCGGTGCGAGAATCAGAAAGCCAGTAGAGGGGCAAATCGTAGTTTGGTGAGCCTCTCCAAAATTATGCAGGGTAACTGGGTATCACGCCTGGTTACAGGGATACATCCGTAGACAGGCGATTTAATTTTATTAGGACCACCAGAGAAAGTTACATTAAATCTTATTTTTAAACATTATTGATGATACATACAAAACGCAAAATTCTATTGAAAGTAGCCACATCATGCTTAAGAGACAGTACGAACTGAATTTTAATTAAATAAACAATCAGAAACACAAACTGAAACCACATGTAAATAATGAAGTTTATGAACTATCAGTGGCTTTGAAACTATAGACAATAGAAAACGAATAGGTATATATAATTATTCGATATTTAATAAACAATTTTAACGACAAAAATAAAAATAAAATTTGCCTACTCATCTCTTAATAACTCAGAAACTTTAGTCCTAAATCGTAGAAAAGAGTCATGGAAGATATCAACACACTCAGTTTGTTGTAAGCGTCGGGCAAGCGATATAATGCAGAGTATTCAATTCAAGCGGAGAATCCGCTATGCCTTATCTCTGTAGACAGGTTTTTAGCAAACTATTTGCATATTTCCAGTGCAATCCTCGTGACTGGAGCTTCGTTGACGGCCAGCCTGTTCGTGGTGCAGGTGGCTGTGATCCCTCTCCTCTTCAAGTATAGTAAGGCTGTGCAGAGGAAAATGGTGTTTTCCAATTGCAGTTAGTGGAATATAAGATTTATTTTTACTGACTTAAAACTGTATATATTAAATGGTAGTCATTGAAATAAAGTATTGGTAATGTATATGTATTTTGAAAGAGATTTGTGGGAAGGAAGCGGAGAATTCGGGCTTAGACCTATTCTAGACGGATGTAATGACGGACTCGAAAAATATAGGGAGTTAGTTGGACATAAGTTTGAATGGCTGAGAATCATTCGCTCTTTTAACCAACGCTTCATCCACTTTCTCTTCTTGTGTTGTTTTTCGTCGTCTATTGCACACAAAACTCCTAAGGCAATGCCCACTTTTTGAAATTTAGACAAATTTGGAGTCATTTCTACAACACGGTTTTCACTCCAGAAGACGGCTCGCGACTACGTGTTGGCGCGTGGATTACATCCGTGTAGCCGAAAATCATAATGCGGGTGGAAACCAACTTCCCACCAAGGTCACCTACGTTCGCTGGATTACATCCGTCTGGAATAGGTCTTAGTCAACTCGCCCTCTCAAATTCTAATAAATCAAGGTTCTTTTATACCAAATTTCGATGTTGGTCAGTTGTCTCCCTTGACAGCCCCCGGTTGGTATTGGAGACATAAGGATATTTCTAGTGCTCGCTTAGGTTTTGGTTGTTTGAAATTGTTGTATTGGGTACCTGTACATATCCCCTTGTCAAGTAGCAAGCTTACATTAAAACCATGAACATTCATAATCAGCAAGAAAAAAGTACCAGGAGATCATACATGGCTATGAGGTTCTGGTAATGAAAATGCTATTTTTTGTATTATAGGGGGCTCCATCGATTGCGTTGTGTTATGCGTTATGATAAATGAACTACAACCTCTCATAATGACACTTTTTTCAGTAAATTATCCAAGGAACTTGGACTATGAGAATCCCTCTAGCTGTAATGTCATTGGTGGTAGAAATTTCAAGATTGAATTTGTTTCTAAAGTTGACAAATGCCCTATTAAAATAGGTAAGTAATGATTTAACGTATCTACAGTAATCTGATTTGAAGCAAAATTTGCCAAGTAATATAAACTTACTACGTTTGTCCGTTCATGAAAGCCTATTCGTGAAGTCAGAGTGTTCTGGTAAAGAACACCTGTTTTGTCGTGCCGGGTAGCTCTAATGAGCGATGAGACATCGCCTTTATAGGAAGATTTTTAAAGATGCCTTGCTCACTTCTGATACTTTATTAGACAGATGAAGAAAGATGAAGAAGACATCTTAATTTGTACTGTTTTGTAGTGTTCTGTTACTCAAGTCAGTAAAATTAATAGAGGCCCATGGGTTACAGCTTACCGAGTTAAGTGGTCTGATCTGGTATATCAAGGCTTAAAGGTTTATAGAATATTATAGGCCATTAATCACAAAACATAGAAAAAGGTAAGGCTAGGCTACGTTAGGTTAGAATGATCAGAGAGACCGTTTGTACGGGAATCGATGTCGCATTCTCGCCCGCACTACACTTCCACCTAATAAATAATAGCCAATCAAACGGCGTGACGTCAAACAATTGAACCATTCAGCGCTCAAACCCGTGAGCAACAACGCAATAAAAAACCAAGTTTTGGTCAAGTTATGAGCATTTGCTTTCACATAACTGTGGCGCGCCACAAGGCGCTTCTAACGTCTTTTTGTATTCTGTGCTATTAAACATTTACAATCAGTGGGTGTATAAGTAAGACTGCCATCCCTTCTCACAAGAAAAAAAATGTTTGGTCACCAAAAGACGACTATTGCGAAAGTTGCTCAACTTTTACTAAAGCACGCTAACCATAATGATACTTATTTCTATAGGCGTATGGCACATTGTCCCTTGCTGTATGTTTCGAGACGTGTTTGTGGTGCGGGACTACAGCAGGCTGGATGAGCGACTCCACGAAGAACTGAGCAAGACGCAGAATACAGTCGTGTTGTATTGCCACGGTATATAATAGTTTTCGTTAGATCAAATTAAATCATCGATTGACCATTTGATTCATAGACAATGACGACATAAGCGTATGAATAGAGTGCTACCATCTGGCTCCCGCTATTTCAGAAAATCCTCATTGCAAATATGGCGTCTTAAACCAAAGTGTAATATAAAAGTGACAACCACAGCCTAGTGCATACTGCATCATCCCCGTCTCAGGAGATGATCGCTTCAGATGAAGCTTGTAAGGCCATTCGCCCATAAGCTTGAACTACGGGTGTATTTTAGTCAGTAGGAGCCTGACATAACCTATCAGCCGCTCCTCCGCCTGAGAGGAAACAGAAAAAAAAACTTGAATCCTAGTGCAGACACCAGTCTCAGGAAAGGTTTATTTAATTGTTAATTATTTGTGATAAAATGTTTTTAGCATTGTTGAGAAAATGCAATATTGCTATTGTGTAACTGCAGGCGTTAATTGACGAAGACTATTGACTGATATTCACAGAAGTGCTTGTTATTTATCCAGATTTAAACTTACATTTCGAGTATATTTAAAAGTATATTGCAAATGCAATTATTTTTATTGTTTTATTCATCTAATGGAAAGCGATGATGGGACAGCTTGCTTAGGTAGAGTCTATTCTTTATACGTTGAAATGCTCTTTACTGAATATATTTATCCGATTTTTGACATCTCTATGAGCTGTAATTACCTATTGCAGGTAATTCAAACCACCGGGCGTCCCCGCACCGATTGCAAATGTACAAAGTGTTCCAAGAACTGAATTTCCACGTGATCACTTTCGATTACAGGGGTGAGTGTGTTCAATACAAACACGGATTGATTTAATGCTGGATTCAGTCTGTTTTACTTAATAAATCCAACTTAGGTATCAATCTAGAAAGTTATTTTATCAGCGACTTCAGAATCGTAAACATATATTTTACATCAGCCAGTTATCGGGCTATACAGTATAGCCCCTTATATGTCTACTTATTAACTTTAGCTGCTATTATGACATGACAAATAAAAGATATTTACAAAAATCAATATAGGTAGGTAAATCCCAAAGTCAAACCACGTGAAACTATCAAAAAAAGTTTAGCACAACTGAATTTATAGGCTCATTTTTCGCACTCTGATGCATGCCGCAATGGATATAATATACCATGAATGTATGTATGTATGAATATATGTAAGTATTTATATAAACCATTATGTTTGTTCAGGATACGGAGACTCCACTCGGATTCGTCCGACGGAGCGGGGCGTGGTGGAAGACGCCTTCCAGGTGTATTCCTGGCTGCTGGAGTCACTCAACAAGGCGCGCAAACCCACTGTTCTGCTGTGGGGACACTCGCTTGGTATCAATCCTAAATTTAAAACCTTTTATAGGAAATTTCTCTAAGAAATGTGTTGTGTTCTGCTGGTAAATTGGGGTTTAGACCTCCGCGGGATATAGGATTGTGTTCAGGCCGGCAAGGTGAAGATGGCTGGACCGGCACACTTTCTGCAGCATCATCTATCTTTGCGACTGGACTTCGCTCACGGGGACGACGACGGGGTAAAGTAAACGAAATTCTATTTAGTCCGTCAGTTAGATGATCAAAAAATAATGGACACGTATTTTTTCTTTGGGCAAATCAACCAAAAAATGACAAAAATAAAGCGCGTCAAAGTTTGGGAGTAGTTGGGGCTCGTGACGTCACTTTTAAATGAAAATTGTACCAAAACGTGACGTCATGCGACTTTTCAAATCAATATATCTCTGCAATGTTTATATTAAGTGAAAAAAGAAAAATATACGTGTCCAATACTTTTTGATAATAATCTACCTGATAAACGAAGGAAACAAAATTAGTCGTCACCCCTATTTGTTACTCTTCGTATTAAAAAAGGGAAGGTACTAAACAGGAGATGGGGAGCATTACGGAAAGCCTACAAAGACATTATTACGCATACTAGTAGAGTGAAAACTAGAAGCTAGCTGATTTTAAACCTTAATGTCGTATTAAGAAGAGGTAGAGCAGATTATGCTCTTGAATTGGAGCGCGCCCGTCTGGGGAAGTTCTCACAGAAGATCACAGACACAGAGCTCACATCACAAAAAGACTACTTTACGGGGTAGGGTAAGGTAAGTTTTATTATTAGTAATTACGTTCTGCTATTCTTCACTTGAGATACTGTCGTTAAGTTGAAGTTAAGTTTGTTTTCTCATTATAAATAAACAATAAATATTTCCAACACTCACACCAATTAGCCTAGCCCCAAAGTAACCTCTATAAGGCTTGTGTTATTGGATACTAGGGTAAAGGATAGAATACATATACTGTATATATATAAGTTTTATGTATACATAAATACATATTAAACATCCATGACTAGAGTACAAATGCTCGTATTCATCACACAAACATGGCAGATGTTTGGATGTGGGATTCGAACCCAGGACCTCTCGAGCCGGCGACAGCATGAAAGCCGACGTACAAACCACTCGGCCACGGAGGTCGTCATTTATGCAGTAGACTGCAAAATTGTTATAGATTTCGAGGAATTCATTATTTAAAATAATTCAACTTGTTTCGGGCACCGGGGAAGGTTGAAACTGGTACAGTTTGCTCCGTGGTATTAAATTCATTATGTGGTAATTTCAGTTTACTTGTATTAATAAAAAAAATGAGAATATTTTTCCAGGCACAGCGGTAGTGGCGAACCTGGCGGCACGGTTCCAGGAACTGTGTCAGGATGCGGGGAAGAAGATTCCACCACCAGACGCGTTGGTATTGGAGGCACCTTTCAACAATCTCGCCGAGGAGATAGAGCGCCACCCTTTCTCCAAGGTATGGGGTACATTTTATTTTTGTGTCTGAATGTCCTATGCATCTGTGGCGGTGTGACATCTACACGCCCCACATATAACTAACATGGAGGAAACAATCTTACGCCTCCTCAAGAGATGGCGTTACCCGCGCTGCGTTCACAACGTATGGAAGCCTACAACACGCAAGAGAAATTCGGAGCCTAACACAACATATATACGATGCCCGACCAATATCAGCCGCGGCCCCCGAGCGACCATCACCCAGCTCGAAGGAAGATCTTCCCCTTTGACCTTCCTACACATCCTTCAACCACCGGGGGAGCGAGAAGAAGGTATGTGGGACTCCTCCCTGCTCATTTCATCCAGCCCTCGGTCTTGGTGAAATATGCAGGGCCCTACCCTGCCCTGAACAGGGCCACTAAAAACCAGTCAATACTCCTGCACCGGTCACCCGACACGCATTCAGAGGACCTCAGTCCTCCCAATGCATGTCGAGAGTGCGAATGTAGTCATGGCACCTAATTTCCAATGGTGTTGTAACGTACCTTAATATGGTTTCGACTCATGGTTTCGATTATCATAGGTTCCATTTCGCACATTTTATCATATAACATCATCGATATTCATCAGACATCATCATATATTTTATCATTTATTCCTGGAAACACATAATTTCAAAAATATCACACACTATTCATCACTTTGTAAATACGTATAATAATTTCTTCTGTACTGAAAATCACTATTCCAGAGTGCTGGACACTTACCGGCATTTCTCTTTATTCTGTTATTTACTTGTTTTCACTTATTATGCTTTGATTTTATCTATATTTAATTTATTTATTTTATTGACATTTTATGACAACCTAATGTTTTTTATCCGTTGCCATGGCTACCCATGACACGGATACTCTCTCCAACTACGTCTATGACTATTCAACCTCCACAGACCACTTACTTTGATTCTTTTTGGCTCGATTCGAACCGTGTCTAAATTCAAATGGTTCCGGACCTATAAAAGGCCGAGCCTCCCTGATCATTGATTCAATTCTACGGCAAAAGTTGCCTACTCAACTTTTGAAAGCTCGCTACCGAGCTCTAAATTAATAAAAGGCCTTGTCCCGGGGCCGACTGCCCCGGGACTCAAGAAAGACCTCAAAGCTTTTTAGCACCTATTGGCTCTTTAAACAACTTCCTAACTCCAATACTATACTACTATACACGTTCTCGCAACCTCATCGGTGGGACTGCGCCTGGTCTCCAGCTTCTTCGGCCAGCCTCCAGCTGCTTCAGCCCGCCTTCTACCGACTCCTGCCGTTTCTTCAACGCCCGCCTCTGGCCGATATACGCCGGTCAAACTACCAGCAGCGCCGCCAGCAACCACCAGGGGAGGCCAAGATCTCGACCTACCGTTCAAGCCGCCCCTGAAGATCGCCGACGACCCACGCCCTACCGTTCAAGCCGCCCCTGAAGATCGCCGACGACCCACGCCCACTTCACAACTCACACTACACACATATTCCATATTTTTTTTTAATAATCTGTAAATAGTACTTTATCTTGTAAATATATATTCCTATACTGTTCTTTTGATTTTTTTTTTTCTTCCTTCCTATCTAGTATTATTTTGTTGCTACACAACAAAATTGGCGCCCAACTCTTTAGTTTAGTCTTCAGGTCTTCTCTTTAGTTTTTCCCTCTTCCTTACCTTTATCTTCATTTGTCCCTCCAGCCTCCCCTCTAAATTCTAAAACAACACTTCTTCTAGTGTCCCTATCCCATTCATCCCCTTTGGCATCTTAAATGAAAATAAAAAAAATCCCCTTTATCATAAAATATATATATATATTTATATATATTGTAAATATTCTTAACTTGCTTTATTTATCTAAATACCTTTATACTCTATTTAATTGTAAATATTAGTCATCTTATTCCTTAATTTACTTATAATTTTTATTTAACTTTTCTATTTTTTTTTTCCTCTTCTTTCTAACTCTTAGCTCTCACTGAACTTCATTTTTACTCACTCTAATTTTATTTTTTTTAGAAGGAAACAAGGTATTTAATTTGAACTTTATTAACTTATCTTTATTCTTAACAATGCCTAGATTAATTAAATTTGAACACCTCAACAAAGCTGAACTGATCTATGAGGTAACAATTAGATTAGAGAATCCAGCAAATACAGTCTTAGAGTTGAGAAAACAAATTCAAAGACTCTCTTCGATAACTTCGCCAGAGGATATTCTAACTTCTCCTTTTCCAGTTGATGAGGATCTTGCTCAACTTGATACTACCATCAATTACCTTGAAGGGAAAATTAATAGATTATTACAGGGCGATTCTAAATTTGCTCGCCTTATTGAAACTTACCTTAACCATATTTATTACAGATTTGAACGTATAGACATTGACCTTAACCCTGAACTTTTGACTACTTTTACTTGTCTTAAAACTAAATTTGACGACTTAAATAACAAATTTGAGCCTTTTACCTTTCACCCAGCGGAAAATATAGTCACACCTATAGATTCCCCAACTACTTATATACCTGAAGTTCCTCAACCCTCTTCTCAGCCTCAACCCCTAATCTTTTCTTATCCTCAACCTCCAATTAACACTAATATCTTTAAGGATCTAAAAAAATACACTTTTAATGGTAAATCCTGCCCTAGATCTTTTCTCCAAAAGTTGGATGAATACTGCATTTCACGAAACTTTGATAAAAACCTTCTTATTAATCAGGCTTATGAAATTTTTACTGACAACGCTCTTCATTGGTTCAGATTCCAAATTAGTAGGAATCCTAACTTATCTTGGGTAGAACTTACGCAATTGCTAACAAAGGATTTTGGCCTTTTCGATTACGACTATAAACTCTTAGAGGCAATTAGAAGTCGTACTCAAGGCTTAGAGGAACCGATAGCCATCTACATCTCTATCATGGTAGGAATGTTCTCACGTCTCACAAAGAAGCTTACTGATAATGAACAGCTTGAAATTCTTCTTAGAAACATCAGACCTTGCTACTCAGTCTTTGTGGCACTTAAGGACTGTAACTCTATCGATTCCCTTTTATCTACCTGTCAAAATTATGAAAAATTCCTGGATAGAGACCAAAACTTCAAAGAACCTATCTCAAATTCTTTAACGCCAGAATTCAACTATAAACCTCAAATTCCTTCCCCTACTCTTCTTCCTACTCCTCCTCTTACTATTGCTCAAAAACCTTTCTTTAAAAAACCTTACCAGGTTAACACCCTTCAAAAAGACGTTTTCTGCGTTCGTTGTCGACAACATGGACACGAACTTAAAACTTGCTCTCAACCTCGCTTCATCATTTGCTTCAAGTGCGGGTTGAAAGGTTTTAAAACCGCAGACTGTCCTAAATGTAACCCTAAACCTAATACTAGTTCAAAAAAACTAATTATTGACTTGAAAAGCTCTCCTAAATTCGACATTAACGATTGGAATATTTGGCTTTCAACACTTAAAAATTTCTTTTCTTGCTATAAAATCTCTTCTACATTCTACTCTAATGAGAAAGATTCCAAACGCCCTTTCATTAATGTTCGAATTAATAATCTAAACATGTCTGGTCTTCTGGACTCTGGTAGTTCAGTTACCATTTTCGGCAATAATTCCCATCTGGAAATTCTTAAACTTGGCTTCAAACTTTTCAAGTCAGATTGTATTTCTATCTCAACTGCTAGCCAACAAAGAATTAAATCATTGGGCTATTTTGAAGTACCAATGTTCTTCAATGAGCAGACTCATATAATTAAAGCTTATGCTTTTCCTGAACTTTTTCCTTCCCTTATCCTTGGCATTGATTTTTGGAACAAATTTAATTTGCTACCTTCTTTACTATCTTCAGCTGGTCTCTCAACCCTCAAATGCTCATCTATTCAGAACGATGACAAAAAAGTACTTCCTTATGACCATCTTACTAAAGACCAGAAGGAAATAGCCGATAGCATTATCAATCGCTTAAAAGGTATCTCATTTGAGGAAAAAGGAGTACTGGGACGTACTCATCTGATAACTCACAAAATCGACACTGGCGATTCCCTTCCTATCAAACAAAGATGCTATAGATTATCCCCTGAAAAACAAAAAGCATTAGTTAATGAGGTGGATAAAATGCTTGAATGGGACGTAATTGAACCCTGTGAAAGCCCTTGGCTATCCCCAGTGATTATTACTCCCAAGAAAAATGGTGAATGGCGTTTCTGCGTCGACAGCAGGAAACTGAACTCTGTTACTCGTCGTGACGCATATAACCTTCCCCTTATAAGCGAGATCTTAGATAACCTTAGGAATGCCAAATACCTGTCTAGTATTGACATTGCCAAAGCTTTTTGGGAGACTCCTCTTAACCCGGCAGACAAAGACAAGACTGCATTCTACGTTCCAGGCAGAGGAATGTACAGATTTAAAGTAATGCCCTTCGGTTTAACTAACTCCCCTGCTACTCAACAGAGACTTATGGATATGTTATTTACCCCTGATTTTGACAACAAAGTCTTCTGTTATCTCGATGACATTGTCGTAATAAGTGAAACATTCGACGAGCATATCGCTCTACTCTTAAAAGTCTATGAAAAACTTTCATTTGCGAACTTAACTATAAATTTCGAAAAATCTCAATTCTTTAGAAATGAACTTAAATATCTTGGCTTTATCGTAGATGAATTTGGACTACGAGCTGATCCCGACAAAATCCGCTCTATTCTGGAATATCCTACACCATCCTCTAAAAAAGAAGTTCGTAGGTTCATCGGCACCTGTAGTTGGTTCGAAGATTTATTCCGAATTTCAGTACTATTGCGGCACCTCTTAACAAATTAACTTGCTCAGGAGTTAATGCTCCCAAGTTTTCTTGGAACCCTGAAGCTGAAACTGCGTTTCAGAAACTAAAAGAAGCTCTCGTCACTACCCCTGTGCTCGCTTGCCCAGACTTTAACCTACCATTTTCTGTTCATTGCGATGCATCTAATTATGGTATAGGAGCAATGCTTACTCAACTTCAAAACGACAAAGAAGTCGTTATTGCCTACATGAGCAAATCGCTTAATAAAAACCAACAAAACTACTCAACTACAGAAAGGGAAACCTTGGCCGTTATAACTGCTCTTGAACACTGGCGTTGCTATCTCGACAATGGTAAACAATTTACCATTTATACTGATCACGCAGCCCTTAAGTGGTTCCTAAATTTATCTAATCCCTCAGGAAGACTTGCTCGTTGGACTTTACGTTTATCTTGCTTTAACTTTGTCCTGAAACATAAGAAAGGCAAAGATAATATTGTTCCAGATCTATAATCTAGATCTAAACCTAAAGACTTTGCAGATTCGCCACCTCAAGGTGTACTTCCAATTTCCACAGAAGTTTCATCCCCTAATCGTGATTTGGATCACTACAACAAAATTTTGCTCGGATGTCAAAATAACCCTGACTCCTACCCGAATTATACTATTAAAGACAACAAGCTTTATCGTTGTATTCATTCTCCAAATAGCCTCAATGATGATTTCATTTGGAAAGAAGTTCCTTTACCTCATGAAAGATGTAGGCTCATCGAAACTAACCATGGCTCTGAACTTGAACCTCACCTAGGTATCTTTAAAACTTACAAAAAACTTTCATTACGATATTACTGGTCTGGTATGTTTAAGGACATTGCCAGATTTATCTCTAACTGCGACACATGCCTGGCGTATAAACATCCAAACCATTCACCCTACGGACCAATGGGCAAACCAAAAATTTGCTCTAGGCCCTTCCAGACTATATCGCTTGATCTTATGGGTCCATTACCCATGACTAGAAATCGTAATCAATACATCTTAGTTATTAACTGCTTTTTTACTAAATATACTTTAATCTTTCCCCTTAAGCGTGCTACCACGCCTAATATAATCTCTTCTCTTGAGAACTCGGTTTTTCTGACACATGGTGTCCCTCAGACCATTATTATGGACAACGGACCCCAATTCCAGTCTCGTGAATTCATTTCCTTCTTAAAAAAATATAAAATTCCTTTTATATTTCATTCTCCATTCTATTGTCCTCAAGTAAACCCTACTGAAAGGTACAACAGAACAATTATTACTGCTTTAGCTGCCCTCGTAGGTGATGACCATAGGACGTGGGATAATCACCTCCCTAAAATCCAACAGGCGTTGAACAGTTGTGTGAACTCCATAACTGGTTATACGCCTAACTTTTTGGTATTTGGTCGTGAAACAATTCCCTGCGGCTCTTTTTATACCTCAGCTCGAAGTATCGAAGAAGTTACCTTTCTACCTCGCGATATTTACTCTGAAAATGCTGGATTCCTCTCATCTATTTTCGACAAAGTTCAAACTACCTTATACCTTGCTCACGCTAAAAACAGTGCACGCTATAACCTACGTCGCTCATTCAAAGAATTTAATGTCGGCGATATGGTTTGGCGAAAGAACTATGTGCAAAGTAATGCAGGTTCTTACTTTAGCGCTAAGCTCGCGCCTAAATTTCTTAAATGTAAAGTTGTTAAGAAAATCTCACCTTTAGTGTATATATTAGAAGATACCAATGGCTCTAAAGCTAAATGGCATATCAAAGACATTAAAATCTAAAACTCATACCTCGTTCACCGCATTAATTCATTCTTAACCATTCATTCATTTATCACTCAAATCATAATCTCTAAAATTAATATTTTTTTTGTTTACCCTAAAGCTCTTAAGCTCTCTCAACGTCTATAAAAGACGTTAACCTTTAAAATTTACCTCTATTTTTCTATAGAGTACTTTTCTCCAGTGCTCTACCTTACTTAACTTCTTTAAAGGCAACTAAAGCCTTTACTTTAACCTTTACCTAAGACTACCCTAATGGTCTTCTCTACCTTAACCCTACATTCTTAAGTACTAAATGATACTTCTTTCCGAGCGGCTGACTACTCGTTAAAGAAGCCTTAGGTCCGAGCGGCTGACAACTCGTTAAACAAGCCTTAGGTCGGAGCGGTTGATTACTCCTAAAAGAAGCCTAGGTCAATATTTTTTTTTCCACTTATGGAGCGGTTGACAACTCCCTAAATAAGCCTGTCGTTATTAAGGAACACCCTTCTAGAGTGGCAGTCATTGATCGTGAACTCCACCCTTACCTGTATGAAGTTGAGGTATGATAGAAGAGGAATGTGTATTTGTATGAATGGTTGTATGTTTCTGCGAAGTAGTGTTCCTCGGATCTCTTTTGGCCTTTTCTTTAAGCAAAATTTTCTCTAGTCGAAAATTTTCTGGGGTCGTGGGGGAAAATGTAACGTACCTTAATATGGTTTCGACTCATGGTTTCGATTATCATAGGTTCCATTTCGCACATTTTATCATATAACATCATCGATATTCATCAGACATCATCATATATTTTATCATTTATTCCTGGAAACACATAATTTCAAAAATATCACACACTATTCATCACTTTGTAAATACGTATAATAATTTCTTCTGTACTGAAAATCACTATTCCAGAGTGCTGGACACTTACCGGCATTTCTCTTTATTCTGTTATTTACTTGTTTTCACTTATTATGCTTTGATTTTATCTATATTTAATTTATTTATTTTATTGACATTTTATGACAACCTAATGTTTTTTATCCGTTGCCATGGCTACCCATGACACGGATACTCTCTCCAACTACGTCTATGACTATTCAACCTCCACAGACCACTTACTTTGATTCTTTTTGGCTCGATTCGAACCGTGTCTAAATTCAAATGGTTCCGGACCTATAAAAGGCCGAGCCTCCCTGATCATTTATTCAATTCTACGGCAAAAGTTGCCTACTCAACTTTTGAAAGCTCGCTACCGAGCTCTAAATTAATAAAAGGCCTTGTCCCGGGGCCGACTGCCCCGGGACTCAAGAAAGACCTCAAAGCTTTTTAGCACCTATTGGCTCTTTAAACAACTTCCTAACTCCAATACTATACTACTATACACGTTCTCGCAACCTCATCGGTGGGACTGCGCCTGGTCTCCAGCTTCTTCGGCCAGCCTCTAGCTGCTTCAGCCCGCCTTCTACCAACTCCTGCCGTTTCTTCAACGCCCACCTCTGGCCGATATACGCCGGCCAAACTACCAGCAGCGCCGCCAGCAACCACCAGGGGAGGCCAAGATCTCGACCTACCGTTCAAGCCGCCCCTGAAGATCGCCGACGACCCACGCCCTACCGTTCAAGCCGCCCCTGAAGATCGCCGACGACCCACGCCCACTTCACAACTCACACTACACACATATTCCATATTTTTTTTTAATAATCTGTAAATAGTACTTTATCTTGTAAATATATATTCCTATACTGTTCTTTTGATTTTTTTTTTCTTCCTTCCTATCTAGTATTATTTTGTTGCTACACAACAGTGTACCTGCCGGAAAGTATCAAATTACCTGCCCCTCTATCATACAACATTGGTATAAACTTAGGTTCATATTGCTAAAAATACAACTGGTAATCTAACCTTACCTTTAGGGCGCTTGATAACGTGACGGTTTTTACCCGGGCCGGCGCCGGATAAGTTTTTACTCAGGCCGATGCCGGATAAACTTCTTCACGAGCACGATTTGTACCGTGAAACTGTCGCTAGCGCCGGTGTCGTTAACAATCCCCTATAGTGCCCACAGAACACAGAAAGAAGTTACCTTAGACCGTTTGTAAGGGAACCGATGTCGCCGGCTCGCCCCCACTACTCTTCCACCTGATACATAATAGCCAATCAAACGACGTGACGTCAAACAGTCGAACCAATCAGCGCTCACACCCGGGAGCAACGACTCAATCAGACCCAATTTTTGGTCAAGTTATGAGCTCACACATTACTGTGGCGCGCCTGCCCCGCCCACAAGGCCTTTCTAACCTCTTTCTGTATTCTAAGATAGTGCTTAGTTGACAAGCGGACGTAGACACGGTTTAAAACCGTGCCTAGACCCGGCGGAAAATAGTCTCGTTAACAAGCGCCCTTAGGTTACTAACTGTTTTTTTTTGGTGACCAATTACTATTTTTTAAGGATTATTTAAATACTAGCTGTGCCCCGCGGTGTTATCCGTGGTTTATAAGGGATATTTTTGCGCAGTAAAACGTATCCTATGTGTAAATCCAGGGTGTCAGCTAACTCCATACCAAATTTTATTAAAATCGCTCAAGCCGTTTAGACGTGAAGAAGTAACAAACATACACACTCAAAAACTTTCACCTTTACAATATTAGTGTGATTAATTAAATGTCAGATGAAACATTTTCATTTATTGATTTTGTTTACCAAATAATCGCCAATTACATAGGTACAATACCAATCCAAGCTGTAAATGAAAAGAAGCGGATCTATCAGACATGGCACCGAATCCAAATATTAATTGACCCTGAACAATCATATTTAAGTAAGGAATGTATATTATTTGTTTCTTAGGTTTTCAAATAAAATCAGACGACGCATCCTGAAAAGGATGCTAAACGACAATGAATAAAAAATCAGTGCATCTATGGCGTTAAAACTTATTTTATTTAAATATTCCGAAACTATTCATTCCAAGGTTTATATTTTGGACATAGGTATAATCACAGACAGTGCCGTCTTTGACCTATTGGAGGCACTGGGCATATTAGGATAATGGGGCCCCTATGACCAGTATTATATTAACAGAAACTGTAAATATAGGGACTTTGTATTTCATCTGAAGGGGGCCTCGCGGGGCCCTGGGCACTTGCCCAAAGTGCCCACTGGGAAAGAGGGGTTTGATCACAGAACACAGAAGAGGTTTGTGTGTTCCGTGGGTAAAATGCTCTTAGAAACAAAGTCGTCTGAAATTTCTGTTATTATTTTTGTGGTCAGGTCTCTGATCTAGTATCTATGTTTCCGCAGCTAGTCTCCTGGCTTCCGTACTACAAGGAGACTTTTGTGAAACCTTTCGCCGCCTCTTCAGAGTACTCCTTCACCACAGACCAGTACTTGGTGGCAGTTCCACAAATGCCGATCCTTATAATGCATTCTGAAGGCGACAAAATCGTACCATACGACTTGGCTGTTAAGGTACGTTTTTTTTATAAATAGCCAGGTAGGCAAATGACTCTACCTCACCTGATGTTTAGTGGTGTTAAAGTCCAAACGCAAGGATAGCTGGTACAGCAGTTATAAACTGCTACACTAACCATCCTCACCTTGCCGGCCTGCAGAAATGATTCTTCACGTCTCCCTTAAAGGACCCTAGATTGTAGGAAGGAGGGAACACGTGCGCGGGTAAAGAACTCCACTTACGAATAGTACGACAAAGAAATGAGTCACCAAATTTCTTGTGAGTAGGAATAGTGGCCACAGTAAGTCGGTGGCAACGTTGGCCAGCGCGCGTGGTCCTCTGAAGAAATGATGATGGAGGGATAAGGGAGAATTACTCCTCAGAACACTCGCCGTGGTATAGTCGGTAGAATGCGCTTAATGATGCCACATCGCGGCGTAATTGTAGAAACTCGAGTTAGTTATTTACCTTTTCATCGCTAATTCTGCGAGCAGCGCGCCGCTGCAACCTACCCATTTTCATTTAGGTACTTTGTAAACTCGCACCCCCCCTCTTTAATAAACAAGGAATAAGTTTAGACTAGTTACGCCGTGTTTTGTTCATGTCACTCTGATACCATTTGTTATTCAATAGACCGACAAAACATGGAGTAACTAATCCATGCTTAGTCTTCGTTTATTGATAAGGGGGTAAGTGTTTAGTACTTTCAAGTCGATAAGCCCTAATGTGGTTGACTATGCAACAATGCGTTGTTAAGGAAATAATTAAAATATGTCAAAAAACATTAAGTAAATTATATTTCTAAAGAAAGAATTCATTATCACCATCATCATCAGCGTATTGCTGGGGTACAGGCCTTCCCTATGGATGGAATAGAGCACTGGACCATGACCCACCACGCGGGCCCAGTGCGGATTGGCGGGTGCTAACGACTGCAGCTGCAGGACCAATGGCTTAACGTGCCTTCCGAATCACGGAGGAGCTCGAGATAATAAGTTTTTGGTCACCCATCCAATTATCGACCATTGCAAGCGTTGCTTAACTTTCATGGCGGTAAGCACCTGCGCCATCAAGCTCCTCAGAAAGAATTAGTGTTTCTTTTAATGTAAAATGGTGGTGGTTTTCACTTCAATATATATCAGAATTAAGTTTAATTCATCTGTCTTCTTCCAGCTCCATGAGACGGTATCGCTGTCTCGCTCGCGCATGCCAGATGCAGCCATCCTGAAGTTCCACACCATAGAGAAGAGCATGGGCATAGGACACAACAACTTATGCGACTGTCCTCACGTGAGGACGGTTGTTAGGTGAGGGTGTCATCTTTCTTTTATTTTTTACTAGCGATTTTGTCTGCGTTAAAAATTGCTATCTCCAAGTTTCCTCTTCTATTTCAACGTAGACTATAACAATCTCTTTTCTCTCATGTCATCAATATCTAGTCCAAAATTCATTATAAACGACTCAGCCTCAGATTACAAGACTAAAGGAAGATGGAGCGCACGGTACACAGTTTGCGTGACATCCCGACGACGAAATCACTCGCGCCAACGCGCCTCCGATTCCTCCCACACAGGCCACAAACACCACTACACAGCTAGCAAACTTGCACACTAGCTTAGCATTAGGCAGACACCGCACCCGTAGGATAACAGTGCGAAGACCCGGTCTACACACGACACACAGGTACAGGTACGTACCTGGGCGTTTTTCCCCGCTCCCCACGGCAACGGCTGGCTAGAGCCGAGGTCCGAGTCTCGGAGACGCCCTCTAGTTGAGCCGACCCCCTCAGGTTCGAGTGGTCTAGATGCTCCAGACAGAGAGGAGACTCCCCCCGTGGGGAGATGCCATCCGTCTGGAATACCTCTAGAGGCTCTCGCCAATTCTTGGCTTGAGGTCCCCTTAGGATCTCGCCGTCCCCAAACCCGACGCTATAAAGGTCATCTGCGACCAACAGCATACACACCAAGTGTCGCCGCACATGGGCCACCGACCAGAACCACAAAACGCCGCCACCGGCATATTTCTTGTTGTTTTCAAACATTTTATATGGACTCGCCACACACGGTACGCCTGTGGCCGCCACACGCTACAAATCGTCGTTGCTCGTTTCTTGTGACCCGCACCGGCCACTTAATGCGCCGATACAAAACGCCGCCACACGTCACTCGCGCGATTCCCCACCCCTATCTATGGCATCAGCCACTTTAGTAGCCGTTTCTAGCTTCTCGTGGCGGCGTTTGTTGCTGTGGAGTGTAGCCCGTGTGCGGCGACACTAAACAAAAGATTGCGTGGCACGAAAGCAAATATTAAGTCAAAAGAGAATATTAACAAGCGTCAAGACACTACTACGCATCGTGTTGTGAATACGTCCCGTAAATATTAAGTTTTTATCGAGACTGTGCCGCCTTGTTCAAACATTGCAAACACTGTTCACAAAGACGAAAAAGGCTTTACTTTTGATTTTGTATTTGCTTTGGTGGTTGGCACTTGCGTGTTCCTTGCGTTCCATCTGCCTTTTGCTCTATAATCTAAAGACTTACAGGATTGATGTGAAAGTGAAAGAAACTAACAAACTTACTTTCGCATTTATAATACATATATTACTAGTAGGTCCCTGCGACTTTGCCTTTGTGGAAAAAATTGATTTCCCTTACAAACTTCCATTAAAACAACGCTGCCTTTTGATGGTGTTGTGTTTCTGTCGGTGAGTAAGGTTGTAGGGCTCCACGGGGTAGGGGATGGGGTAGGTAACAGCGCGAGTGATATTTTTGGTATAGTCTACAGTAGCCGCTTACCATGAGGCGGGCCATACGCTTGTTTTTACCGTTTTAACATAAAAAAATATTACAAGCGCCCCTTATGCTACTAAGGCGTAGGAGGCAACTGGCCTACACGGAGCAGGAACACTAGTAGAAAAGTTGGCCGAATGTATGCGCCAGAATACTATGAAAGAAAAATATCGTAGTTAAATTGAACCATTGGGATTTTATTTATTTAAATCTATATATATACATATATATAATTCAAAGGTGAGACTGACTGACATAGTGATCTATCAACGCACAGCCCAAACCACTGAACGGATCGGGCTGAAATTTGGCATGCAGGTAGATGTTATGACGTAGGCATCCGCTAAGAAAGGATTTTGATCAAGTCTACCCCCAAGGGGATAAAATAGGGAGTGAAAGTTTGTATGAAACTTTGTCAATTTTAAACCGATCGGGCTAAGACTTTGCATGCAGGTATAAGGAGAATCATAGATGAATGTCATTGTTTATAATACAAGCCGGAGAACAGAAACTGTAGTTTACACTTCAGCTCTACACCGAAGCGAAGCGAGGGCGGGCCGCTAGTTTAAAAATAAGGTGCGAAATAAACGAAATGTGTATAAAGAAAATATAGTTTTTTTTATTTATAAAGTCATTAGTGTTTTTACAATGTCCATAAAAATGCAAATGACTATTTTTCTAAAGCCTGATTAAAGTAATAATAAAATGAATCAATTTATTTATTTTTGTCAAAACATTAAATTTATAAGGGTTCTCTTTAAAATAATAATAATGGCTTTCCTTAAAACAGTTATCATATAATACGTATAAATAAAAAAGTTAACATACATTTCTTTTTATTTCGTTTACCACGCACCTTATTTTTATATTTAATTAAAAAGAAGCCCAATGTGTCGATTTTACTAGTACGATATTTTTTCCCATGGTATTCTGGCCCATACATTCAACCAACTTTTCCACTAGTGTTTCTACTCCGTGTCATGAGGGCCGCGAACCAGAGGCCAGTTGCCTCCCAAGTAGGGTTACCATCCGTCCGGATAAGTACGGACATGTCTGGACTTTTTGACTATAGTCCGGACTTTGTCCAGATCTTCAAATTGTCCAGACTTTTAAATTACATTGAATATGAATAATAAAAGCACATATTTATGTAAGTGCCATACCATTATAACGAAGTGAGAATTGGTACCATTTTTTGACTAAAAAGTCCGGACTTTTTTTAAATGTCAGGATTTTTGTCAGGCCTTTTGTTATTCTTAAATGGTAAGCCTACTGTCAAGCCGCTACTTAACTGACCCATCAGTCATAAACTACTGCTTATTGTTACAGCGATTTTCTTCAGCAAATCGAAAAGAAACATTGATACTTCAACGTCATATTTGAACCATTTTTTAATTTATAAAAGAATAAAGTGATTGTGTGGTTTTGATTGAAAAAAGGTGTTTAATTTATATTGAAAAACAACCTTATCGTGTTAAATTTAATATTACAAATTTGTAGATTATCGTTGCAGTAATCGAGATATCTCGTCCATTAGTTAATTTGTACAAATCGCCCACCATATTTTACGTGTCTGGGTTTTATAATATTTTGTTGTAACGTGTTTTTTTTAATGGTACCAACGGAGTGCCTTGAAATAAATCTTGGGACATTAAAGGCTTGGCCGCTGCGCGCGCACGGTAGCCAGAGAAAAATAATTTATTGTCTGTGGTGCGGTGCCAGGGATCAACAACAATTTACTGCGGTTTTGTGTTTATGCAACTGACTGGGATGGGTTTTCGTGGATCAACTTTTAAAAATTATTCAGTAAGTTATTAAAGTCATACAATTTATTAATTACATATTTATTGCTAAACTTATAAAATAACAGAGAAAAGTGGTTGTGACATCGTTTTTGAATACTAAAAGTCATGGTAAATATAAAAGCGTGGAAATCTAAAACTATGATATTTATTTTTTAAGATTAAGAACAGCGCATATTTCACAATGAAATGGTGTTGTGTCAGATTTACATGTGCAACTATAATAGTAGTAATAAAAGCCTATTTTAAAGGAATGATAACTAAAATTTCATTGGATTAGTATTTATTTATGTAATTATATACATGCCAGCTAATAGACTTATTTTATATTAAATATCTTGGATATAGATGTACTGAACAAAGCCGTTGAAACGAAAGTTTTCTTCTTCTTGTAAAATAATCTTTAAAATCTTTTTGTAATTTTTTCTTCAGATATAAACCTAGCAGATTTGTTAAGAAAATGTTTACAGCATCTGTTCATTAAGCGTGTGTGAATCAAACATTCTTTATTTGAATTTATAACTTCTCTCTCGTAGTCGGACACACACAATGAAACGGAAACTCTTTGTGGCAATAACCAGTTCAACAATTTATCTTGACCTCTCGCACCACCCTCTTTACACTAATTCGATATACAGAAAAGAACGAATATGTGACGTGTCAGGTGCCTATTAAATTGGCCGTGTGTAATGCTAGCGGAAACACGTCGCGTTCCAATTTTGAAATATTTGTTGTTATTGTATTCCATGCTCCTTGTTTGCATGTTTCTGATAACGAAACTTTTTAAAATAGATTTTATGAATTGGTTATTCACACGGAGGAAAAACAAAGAGGAGGTGTGGTGATTAAATTTCCTCAAGAAACGACGCGTGATAATTTGCGGGATGCGGGGTGTTCAGCTCCGCCCACTTCTCAATATTTCATCTATCGGCTAATAGCAAAACTAGCTTAGGTTGATATTTATGTTACTACGTAGTAGTTCAGCTATCTAACACTAGATGTTCAAAAGTTTTGTATATAATGGGACGTACTCAGAACTTGAAGCTTCAAAAAAATTAAATATGTAGCTAAATAAATAAAATAAACGTTAACAAATTTGATCGATGTAAAAATTTTTAAGGTATAATTTTTATTATTTTAAAACATGTAAGCTTGATGAAAAAAAATCCAGGCGGACCAGGCAGCAGACGAGACTCGAACCCACACCAGCTCCCGTCTGCTGCCTGGTCCGCGTGGATATTTTTCTAGTTATATTTTCTTTACATTTAAATTTTAAGGTAGTTTAAAAATAATAGACAAAATGTTATTACAAACATAATTTTATTAAAAAACATCAATTACCTGTAAGTAATAGTTTTGGTTAGTTGTTGTCGGTTGGTTGCCCTATCGTTTTGTATTGTGGCAAAATGCTTAAAACAAATATCAATATATTTTTCTGCAATCGATTTCATCAGAAATACAACATGATTAACTGTAGGTGATTGGTCAAACATATGGTTGGCCGATTTTTTTGAAACAATCTTGTCCAATAAGTGATTTTAATGTATTCGATACAATTTTATGTTTACGAAAGTTAAGTTACGGAGTATTCAAAGATTGCGATTTAACACAACGAATACTGCCTTCGGTCCGTATACATATTTTTATGACATCTCTAGATGGGAAAGTAAGACCACCCTTATTTTTAGTTTTTATCAAATCAAGGTCACTATCGTCGTAGTTATCAGCATATAATTCTTAGAGACAGCTCTCACATTTGATCTTGGAATGTAAATATTTGACCACATACCCAGAAATATATGCTACTATTTGACGGCGCAAATAGTCACCTATAGTTGTATTAAATTGTTCATCAAATTCCAATAACATATTGTCAGGCATAGGCTCGACATCCGTGCTATCCGAAGACTCGAAACTCATTTTATTTAAAATGCGATAACGATTTGCACAGAAGATTCATTTAAAATGGAAATATCTTCTTCTTCTATGGTGTCCAATCCGGTCTATTAAGTTTTGAAATCCATTGCTGTTTTAAATTATCGTTGGATGGAAATCTAAAACGAACATAAAAATAATTAAAATTTATTTACTTGGTAAAATAATTTAATACGTATTACGGCCCTGGATATTTGTAACGTTTAAAAAGTTATTCTATATGACGACAGATGGCGGCCAGTTAGTAATATATTGATAAAATTACTGTTTTAGATACTAAAAGTTATTTAGGAATAAGTGTATAACAGTTTTCAGTATTTACGTATGATTATTACAATATACTACTGCAAAATTATACGTAAACTTGTGTATTTTCTTCCTAAAAGTGTCGCCATCTGGTGTCAAGTAGTAGAATTTTAACGCTGATAGCTGAGGCTGAGAATGTTCTAGAACTTATATATTTAATTACGTATAAAATTACTTACAAATGAAATGTGATGCCATCCATATTATCAGAACGTCTGTCTGAGTAACTTTGACATAGTAAAACACAAAACTTCATCCTTTTCTTGTTAAAAACGCAAAAAAACACTTATAATGCGAGTCTCGTTAAGTGTGCACCTGACGAACGCTGACAGCATACTGACTTAGGCCCCGCCCACAATGATGACGTCAGGACCTAGTTGAAAATCACAGTGCACAGTTGCTTAGGCCAGCTCCTCTTTGTTTTTCCTCCGTGGTTATTCAACTTTTTATTAAATTCTTTGCACTATCAGCCAATTTAATTCCTAACCCACCATAAGCTTATTTTCTTACAACCATTTCAAAACAATAAGGTAGATTTTTACAGAAATATATATGTTATCTTGGTAACATACTTGTGGCATAATTTTGATATTAATTATTGGAGCTTTGCTCAAAGACTTAAGATTTTCCTATTAGTTTACCAAAGTTTTTATTTTTCCTTACACTGGCATTTTAATGAAAAACACGAAAATTTGAATACAATAGGTTTTTACCATTGTACTAATTTCAATACCAAAACACAGATTACTAATATTGTGTATCAAGCCCAAGCCCAATTAAAAATGGCGAATTTAAGCCCAAGCACAACTAGTAGAAAACACATTTTGTGAGAATGTCAATTCACTTACTTCTTTCAAGAGATATATAACTTCTAACAGAAGGATGGATGCTTTTTGAAACCTGGCACCCCAGGCCACCTAAGATCCACCCTCACCCACCCCGTAGAATTAGTAATTCTAAAAATATAGGTCAGTAATGAATACATTTATATGCCTGACCTGCTGCCTTTTGGCTCTAGATTTACGTCTCTGGATTGATGGAAATGAAGAGCTAAGTAAAAAAGGTGATAATAGTGTATGAATTGTCATAGTCTCGTCGGCTGGACTGAACCTGTTAACTTTAAATCTTTTTATTTTTTTTACAATTAATCCAACACACATACATTTATCTATTTTTAAATTATATCTCCTCATTTTTTCTCCCCATTCCCATCTAATCCGTGGGCCAAGGAAGCGTGAAATGCAGCCAAACAGTCGGAGTGGCTCGCCGCGGTCCAATCTCGCCACATGTGCGGTTGCGCTGAGTATTCATTACTGGCAACCCCGCCGCGAAAATTGCCGCGGAATCTCTAGTGACAGGGCGGGAATAGGGATGTAACTTTTTATTATAGTACTTGGGAAAATTATGTTTAGTATGGGATGGCTCGGTTAAATAATCGAAAGATTTACTGATACTATTCTGCAAATTTTATTCTTTCGTTTTTTCAATATTAGTAAAGATTATCGTGTGAATGGTGAAGGATAAATGTGTTGTATGCAGAATAAAAGTACCTACGAGAAGTAGTTAAAGCGAGAACTGGCACGAAAGAGTTGTATTTAGAAAAAACAGGCTCCAATCATGTTTTAAGTCGAAGATATAAAAAAATATGCTTTTACACCCATAAGCAAAATGATTGAACGAAAAATCGATTTCATTAAACTATGATCGTACCATCGATAAGTTTTAAAATTAGAAAATACATGTTAAAAATTCGCAAAAACATCAAACAACACCTGGAAAGACGTAAGTAGATCAATTGCTAAGATAAACAAGATTAAATATTTGTTTGATGAAGACAGGCACCTTTAATAATAATTTTGAAAGTTCCGCAAACGTTTACTACTTTCTTTATAATTTAAACACTTGCTTAATTACAAAAGCAAAGTTTAAAAAGTTTAAAAAACTACCGACATCGATACCTAACACTGTACACTCACCACTAGTTTTTATGAGGGGTGAAATTTAATATTCATAATAGCAACATGCAGCGGCGGGCGTTTGTTTTGCCATTTCGCGGTCGAAGCACGATTTGATTGCATTTGAAAAGTTATAAAAAATTCAATCATTGGTACGTAGGTGGGTATTAACTTTTTAAAAGCCAATGTTTAAAACATTTGATGATGTAATGCCTTATTAGATTAGGCGCGTTCGGCTGCTATTACAGATGCCGAGTAAACTTTATTAAAAGCTATTTCTCGACGTGAGATCCACATGGTCTGATGTCATGTGAATGTTTGATACATAAATCTGTTAAGAATTTGACACATTTGACGTATTAAATCGATCAAATTCAACTATTCAAATTCGATCGTGCTAGGGGTACAGGACCTACCCATTAATAGTACGAGTT